TATTATTATTATTATCATTATTAATTTATTATTATTATTTGGTATGATGCAAGACGCGGCGGGTTGTCACATGGATAGAATGACTGAAACTGAGAGTATTACAAGAAACTTTAATGAAATTTGTTGAAACATCCATGGTCAACAATTTCAAAATTCTTTGAACTTGCCCAGCTACGTATGTACATGTACAAAGTATGTGGAGCTCGACACTAACAAGCGCCCAGGACACATACACGTAGGCGGCCAAAATCTAAGTCTAGATACCTTAAATTCAACATTTTGGACATACTGTAGGGCTTGTGCTTACGAACTCCAAAATATCTAAATCCAGACCCATTCCCCAAAAAGTTAGTGTGGAGCCCTGTAGTATGTAACATGTACATGTATGATGTACATTTATGTACTTGTATTACATTCAGGTACAGATGATCAATTTACAGGCTAATGCAATCAGAATGTAATATAATGCACTATGATGCACAGCATCATTCCAACCGAATACAATAGGTCAAGGCATGTAAATTTAATGCAATGGCATCATCCATCACACTAAGAGTCAAAGAGTCAAGCAACGTATGTACTTCAGTGAGAGGGGGAGAGATGTGCTGATGATGATGATAAAGGGAGGACGAGGTTTTCAATGGCCTGGGGCAGAAATATATGAAGAAAGAAATATAGTTGTAGTCCTTTATGTGCATGCAAAACAGTCCTGTATATTGAGCTGTTGAAAATGTAAGAAAATGACAATATATACAGTACTGTACATTTTTTTTTTAAATATAAACTGCACATGGGCAAGTTCAAGATGTTATGTCCCTTACAGTACATATACAGTGTACATGTACAATGTACATGTACATCATACCGTATATTGCAGTATGTAATGATTGGAATACGTACACGTACATGTACATGTAAGTCCATAGTCGTACTAGTACTATGGCTTGGAAGGGTAAAAATAAGAAGGACAATAATATATAAAGATTCAGTATTTATGATATTTTGTCATTCCATAATACTTGATACCGGTAATAAAAGTATCTTGAACTTCATAGCCAATGAATCAGGAGATACAGATCTCATTATTCTAATTCCTGAATTTCCAAATTATGATCATACATTTGAATATATACTTGTACAGTGCAGTCATGTACCGGTACCTGAATAACAAATGTTAATATATTCATTTGTTGTTGTTAATGATGTCGCTTATTACAATAAGGAGGAATAAAGCTTGGCAGTCTTCCCTACTTTTAGGACAAGATACTGTTGATACTGATGAGAGGAAGACGATGTGGATGTCATTTACAAACACAAAGATCCACGATGCACCTGTGTTCATGTGAGTTTCCACCAGTGAGGTGAACTGCACACAGTGTAGTTGACACACGACACCCAACATGCAGTAAACACCACACCAGCGATCATTAGGCTACCTAGTCAGACCTTATACATGTACACTCACCTATGACTACATTTACATCTTGACATAATAAAGATACCGTACATGTACTGACTACTGGTGTGCCATATGAAACTGTAGTACCGGGTATTTAAACTTGAGCTGAAGTTCGAAAATGTGACTTGTGGCACTACTTGCTGGGCATGTAAGCCTTAACATCGGTTACCGTAGTATGCCTTATTTGAGGAGAAATACTGGTATGTGTATACAATGAACTAAACGCATGCAGGCATGTACATCTGAATAGTAAAAAGGTACACATTTGTTACTTACTGTAAGAGCTAAAATGCTGTGACAGATACCATCTCCCCTCCCCCTTTTCTTGTAATTTCAAGCAAGATTTTGAACTAGCAGTCTATGTCTAGGCATGGACCCATGGTCTGGGTAACATCTTGCATCATGGCCATGAGGTTGATCTTGTATGAACTGAGTAATTGAAAATGAACATCTTTTTCTTTTCTTTTTTTTGTATACCGTTATTGTTTGTTTTGTTGTTTTTTACATCATCTTGTGAGAAGAAACTGTGTATAGTACATATAATGTACACATGTTGTAATGTCCGAAGACCAACCAAAGCACACACTGAAAGTGGTCTGAGGACAAAGACTATTGATCATGCTATTGGTTCCCTGATATAAAACATTCCTCTGATGTTGAGTAGGCTAGCAGACATACATGATGCCCGATGGCCACACCCACGTCAGTCAGTCAGCATGTATCTATGAAGCATTGTCTCACATCACATCACACAGTAGTAAGGACAATGTGGTGCACATGTATTGCATTGCAAACTTATCGTAAAGAGGATATTGGGACCATGAAAATTACATCATCAGGTTAAACTTGTTATATAATCAGAGTAACAAAACAAAAGACTATAAAGAGCAACCGATTTATAGGCCTACTGGAACCTTGGAGGATCGTTTCATGAAACCGTCATAAGTACAAGTTTGCCGACTACGCGCATTTCAAGGGATATTAGAGAACTTGTACTTTCGTGAAACCCTGCGCAGGTATCCTGTAATACATCATAGGGTCCATGGTATTAAACATCAAAGCTCTTTATTACAAGTTTCCACTGTAGTTGGCCAAAACCAAGCTATTTGATTAATGTGAAGGAGTGGGCTTCATATATTGTGGTAATTAAAACATGATAACTTGGCAATAACATGCTCAAGACCATTTGACAGTTGTGTGCCAATTATTCAAAATAATTGATGAGCATTTAAAGTACATAACATTTGTGTTAGGTTCATGATATTAGAGGCTAAATAGACATTGTCATTCTAAGGAAGGTTCATGACCAGAAAGTCAAGTCTGTCTTTAATTCACTCTGGACCATATGGCACTTAATCAAGATGAAATTGGTAAAGGAACCCCAGTGTTCTTGTCTGAGACCAGCTCGTATATCATGACTTGAACCCAATTAGGACCAGCCAGTTGCATGGACAGCTGCCAGATATCAATGCCATTGTTCGGAATGAGACATTCCTGATAACATCAGAAAGATTTTCTCTCCTTCTCTCTCTCTCTTTCTCTCTCTCTCTCTCTCTTTCTCCCCCCTTTCTCTCTCTCTCTCTCTCTCTCTCACCCTCTCTCTCTCTCTCACCCTCTCTCTCTCTCTCTCTCTCCCCCTCCTCTCTCTATCTCTCCATCTTCTCTCCATCCTTTATCTTCTAAGATTACAGAAAACCATTGAGAAAATTAATGAACAGCTGAGGTTTGTAGAGGCACTGACGGTGACTGACCTAAGTATCAGGTAGCACGTCTAAAACATGTTTCTTGTTCAAAATCAAGTACATACTGTACACACAGGTCATACAGCAGTATAATTTAGTCTAAACAATTTTGATTGGGGTTGTGTTTTCAGGCACTTAAAACAAATAAAGCCCTCAATTTTGCTTTTGGATTTTAACAAAAAATATGCATGAAATATTTTTACTATATAATATTGTCTAATGTAAGTTTTTTAAAGATGTATAAAATATTGCATGTAATTTTCTTTAAAATGCATTATTAAATCAACTGTCTGGAAAAGCAATCTTTCCAGACACACAACATCTGATGGTCTGAGTGTGTTTCTTCCCATTTTAATCATTTGCTTTATAACATTGTTACTATTTGTTTAATTCACGCAGCATGATTTTAGATCATACATGTACATTTAGCTCTTTGTTGATTCAATAATTACACATGCTAACAGAAGTGAACTTATTATTGTCTGAAATACAATGTACATGGAAGCACTTTTAAATCACTAGATCAGAATGCATGATGTACATGTACAGTACATTACATGTACTTTGTAGACATAATTCTTATTCTTTGACATCAATTTCAAGGAAGATATCAAATGTAACTTGGCTTTCAATTACATGTACATAAGATGTTGATCATCTACAATTAAAAAATTAAAACACAAAAACAAAGGGAAAAAGAAAGATTTTATGACGATCAGACTTAAATTCTAACCTCCTGTAACATGCTTCAGACAATTTTTTCTTTAAATCTAATGTTACACAAATGTCTGTGTGTTTTTTTTGTGTGTGTGTTTTTTTTAGCTTTTTGTATTGTTAATAGACTACTGCTACAAGTACCAGATCTAGTACTCATCTTGATCCTACTTTTTTATTGAAAATTTTTGACATCAGGGCATTTCTTTTTAAAAAGGTGACATTTCCTCTCATGATTCTTGGGCCTTTTGGCTTTTCCTTGGCTCAGACTGTTAAGAGTCTTTTTCTTTCTTTTTCTTTTTTTTTTGTCTTTTGTTTTGTTTCCCTTAATCATATTTCCCCGAATGAGCTAGAAGTTGCCTCGAACCCATTTGAGAACTTTTCCAAAGCTTACTGGTGATCAATGTCAACTTCTGTCTCATGTCTTTTTTCCTCTTTCTTTTTTCACTGCATCTGGACAGGTTCACAAGATGGAAGAAAAAAAATCTTTTGAAGGTCTGAACACTTGTAAATTAAATTTAATCACCTGTAATCGCCAGTTTTCTCCTTAAATCTAAGTGTAAGACTAGTAAGACGGTGTCTTGTAATGCCAAACCCACAGCTCATCAAAACACCACTGCCAATGTACACAATGTACATGTACTGATGTAAAAGTACTAGGTCTACATCATCACGTACGAATGGTTTGGGGTCCGGACGCTTAACAAGCATTAAAGATTAATCTGTGAGTGTTGCATTTGGCTTTGCTTTGGATTTAACACAGAAAATATTCATCAACTGTCCAGATACACAACCTGCCTGGACACACAACTTCTGGGTATACATAGCGGCTTTATATAGGCGTACATTCATATATCAAATTAAAACTTGGACTCGTCTTTAATTACAATACAAGCACAAACAATCGATAATGCTGATGGTCGAAAAAGGCAGCTGGACTCTTGAGTCAACGGACCGCTGACCAACATTCTGCGGGACTACGCCCCGTCTGTGCACAGCCGGTTGCTACACAAGCAGCACAACAGTCATGTTTTGCAAAAGTTCATGTCTTTCTACACCACCAAATTCTACGAAATTTCACTCACCTTTTGAAATAGTTGTATGGCAAATAACTAGATTCTAAAACTCGTCTGTAATGCTACGGTGAAGGTGTAAAGCTCATCCAAATTGCCCGTGGCTTGAAGGTTGCTTCGCGCCGGGATTTCAAGATGGACACAACAAATTTTCTAGATTGAAAAATTAATACATCGCATTTTGAACAGAGATGGCGCTCTAACAGTCATGATTTCTAGTTCCTGTTTTGCACCAAAATACCGGCTGAGTAAAATCAACAAAAAAAGAACCCCAAATATTATTTCATGAAACAATCAAAACTCCTGGAATAAATTTTGCTGATTTAAAATGATGCAGTTGATTTTGATATGATAGGAAAAATATTAAAATATGATAAGGCATTCACCTTTAACGGGATAAAAGATGACTATAAGTTTATTAATGTTTAATTGGCATTAAATGTTATTTAAATGTTATATTTTGCTATATAAATACATCTTATTACAAAAAGAAAAAAGATTGTTTCTGCTGAATATAATTTTCCTTCTATTTTGCTATAAACACTGCATTGTAAATTGATTTATATATTATATATATGTTTACAAACAGAATATTGATTTCTTACATTACACTGTAAATTGATTTATTTCATATACAGAATTTGATTTGTTACAATGAATTGTAAATTAATTTATGTGTTTAAACAGAATATTGATGTACATCAATGAAGTTTAATAAAAACAATACATGTGGATCTACTTCTTCTTTCAGATTTTTATATTTCATTTTAATTCAATCGATTTATTTACTTATTCCTGTTTGTGAAATCGTGTCTATTATTTAGAATTGATAACAAAATTGCTTTCCCTACATTATTTTGATTCCCTTTTCTCGCTAAACCATTTTCAATATTCCTGATTGTCGAATTATTATGGGACCTCGTCATCTTTATTTTATTTTATTTTTAGTCTTCTTCTTTTCATAATTATATTTACAGTAGTGAGCTAACCGGGCGATTAGTAAGTAGCAAGCATGTCTGGCAAAAAAACTATGACGATAACTTGAATGACCTTTTGTAAACGGTAGCCTAACACGCATTTCACCTTTTTATTTGGCCCCTACTTAGAGAGAATTCCAATTAAATTTCATCAGATGACCGAAATGGTGCATCATTTCATGTATTCTTACTTCTTAATTCTATAATATTCAAGCAAGACATTCGGTCATTAAGCCAGCAATTATAACAACAGCTGGGTCTAGCCCAATTTTAGACACTACAAGACGTAAGCAGAAAACAAATTTATTTTTTTGATCTTCTTGGTAATTTAAGTTATGTTGATTTGCTCAGTTATGTTAGTGATTTTTAATGTAAGTGATGTTAATTCCATTAGTAATAATGATTTTTCTTAAAGTAATATTGATTTTTGTACACCGTGATTGTTCGTATTATTATTATCATCATTATTATTTACACTTCTCGACAATAAAGGCTGAATGTCTTCAAGTGAATACAATCAATTGCCTAATCATAACTTTGCACTGTCAAAATTAAAACTCTTTTATTCTCTTTAAAAGGGCAAATTTTTCGTAACTAAAATGGAGCCTAAAAGTTCAAGTTCAACCAATAAGTTGATTCCTCCATTATGTTTTCACCCCTCTGCCAATTTTAAATGATTTATTTGAATGAATTGTTTCATCAATTTTGTCGTATCTTTGGTTAATATTATTGAATTTGTATGTATTGCATATTCATTTGATTATGTTTATATTATGTGGAAAAAATAATGAAACATTCAAACCTAAATAAAAGAATAACAATATAGAGAAATAAAAAAAGTGAAAGTTTAAGCACTATCCGATAAAAAAAAAAGTTATAATTTGTTTGTCATCACCGAAACACAAATGTTATTGGCAACACTTTGACGTATATTTTGCGAGCTCCTCTCCAATTTTTCAATATACAGACGATTTCCTTAGTTATAGATGACGGAATAAATTGTGTTTTATACAAGGGTTGTTAAAAACACACAGAGCAATAATTATATTTCGGGTGAATCGATTGAAAAGAGTTATGAAGGTAAAATATTTTTTTAAATTTTTTTAGTACAGAGCAAAAGGGAGGGGACTTCGGAAAATACGTCGCAGAGTTGCCAATTTGTGTTTGATTGCCAAAAATTAATTACTTTCTTATTATTAAACGGTTTTTCACTTGCAGCGCCTTGTAACTGCAAGGAAAAGGCGCTATATCAAATATCTTTTGGATTGGATTGGATACAGATATGCACGCCTCTGGTATAATTTTCTCAAAATATCAATAACTTCTAAACGTTACAGAGGTCAGACATTTTTTTTTAAATAATAAAATGATATATTTTTAACCTGGATAGAACAAATTTCTGGATACTAATCATTTTATTCAAGCTGCATGAGGAAAAGTAACTGAGTGAAAAAGGAAATCAGAGATATTTATAGGATAAGGAAAGGGTAATGATATCCTTGCAAACATGATAGAATTACAGTTTGTATGTGACAAAAACAAAAAGGGGCTGCCGAAACCCGGGACAGTTCAGAACTCATGCGAGTTCTCCGGGTGGTTTCGAACCAGGGACCTTTAGATCTTCAGTCTAACGCTCTCCCAACTGAGCTATTTCGGCCGCTGAGAAGAGCGGGCGCTGTATAGTATATAAACAAAATTTGCACCTGACACACTTCCGGATTTTGTTGCATCCGGGTCCTGGATATCCATCGTGTTATTTTTGTTTTTCCTATTTCTATGATATAACGACTTTCAAATTTGTATAACTTTATCTATCTTATGAAAAGTAAAAATTTAAACGTACATTTTCCCTGTTTTGCTTTATTGTACAGCCAATACACCCGCGTAGGAACCACTTTACATTCATAATAGTCCCATGTGATCAATTTCATGTAAATAATCCACACGTTGTTTAAAATTAGTTCGGAGTTCGTGTAGGGGTTCGTGTAAAGGACTGTATTCTTTTCAAAATACAGACAAAATATCCTAGTAAGGACAGCATTTTTGTTTTACAACACATCACCTTTTGGGTAATTCGGGTGATATTAATTAGTTACATTGCACGCAGTCGTGTCGCATGCGCAACAACATGAACAACGTGCGCGTGTGTGTATTTAAGCGTTGGCCAACGAACTCAAACCTATCCAGAGATCAGTTGTAGGCCTACTGCCACTGGGTACTTGGTTGTTGCAGGGCATGTGAGTTAAAGTCTCACCTCCCTGGTTGTTGTTCCTCCGAAAGATTCTTAGTGGAATTGAAACTGGATTTGTAGGGAAAAAAATAATATCCGTTTGTAGAATTTTTTTTTAAAGCACATATCGTATTCGCTCTCTTCCAAGTCGGAATTTTGTGAAGCCAGACAAAGTCTCAGCGGAACATTATATATCCCCAAACGAAATAGAAATTTTTTCGGTCTATAGAGAATTAGAGATAGCGTAAACTATATATTAAAGAGTATCTAGGAGTAGGAGGAGAAAACGGGGAGGGGGGTGGGGGAGGGGGGCAACAAAAAGGAAAAACATGTCATTTCAGCAACGCTGGTATCGAATTAGAAATAGATCTAAACCACGTTTGATTTTTTTTTTTGATTTTTTTTTTGGTGGGGGGGGGGGGGGGGGGGTGTGGACTACGACGACAACAACTAAAGAAAGTAATAAAAAAGATCACCTAGATTTTCGGTGGAGGGGGAAATTGTTAGCATATTATGATTTGTGAAACTTTTCATGTTCATCCCATTTACATTGGTCTAATATGTTTATTCTCTCTCTCTCTCTCTCTCTCTCTCTCTCTCTCTCTCTCTCTCTCGAGTCTCTCTCTCTCTCTCTCTCTCTTCCGCTCTCCCTCTCCCTCTCTCTCTCTCTCTCTCTCTCTTCCCCTCTCTCTCTCTCTCTCTTTATCTCTCTCTCCATCTCCCCCTTCTCCCTCCTCTCTCTCTCTCTTGATCTCTCTCCTCTCTCTCTCTCTCTCTCTCTCTCTCTCTCTCTCTCTCTCTCTCTCTCTGTGTCTCTCCCACTCTCTCCCTCTATCCATACCCCCAACCCTCTCTTTCTCTCTCCTAATTATGCATTTATATTTAAACTTATGTTCCCTTTGTCATGCATCAATATATATCCGTCTTAATTCATGCGTTTAATTGTGTATATATAGGCATGATACTTAGAAATTTCCCAAACATAGGGATACGTACTGTTTGGGGATGTTATCAGACTTTAAAAGAGATGTATATTTTCTTTACAGAACAAGAAATTTCACGGAAAGGGGCATATAATTATTTCAAAGAAGAACCTGCTACATTCCGCAAAGAGTGGGTCAGAGTCATGTTTTGTGGGAGATACTCCTTAAAAGCCTGAAAATGGGTGGCTATTTTAGACTTCGCTAACGATCAACCCCCCCCCCCCTGAATTTGAAGCGAAACTACCGGTGTTCTCCAATAAAGAAGCCCATTGCTCCTCGTTCAAGGCTGATTTTTCCTGTAACTAAAATCAGAAAAGTGTTGGGGGGGGGGGGGTGGCGGGATGATCGAGGATAGGGACTAAATCAGAGGTAATATCAAAGTATTTGTTTTAGTTCTTTATCCACAGACGGTTCTGCCCCCCCCCCTCTCTCTCTCTCTCTCTCTCTCTCTCTCTCTCTCTCTCTCTGTCTGTCTCCCTCTCTTTCTATCTCTCTGTCTAGCTATCTCTCAATCTGGTCCTCAATTTTTCTTTCTCTATCCCCTCTACATAAATAATTGATTTAACAATATATTTCTAACGGTGATCAATAGTAAATTCTCTCAACCATTTTTTTTAATTTTCCCAACCGTTTTTCCATGAAAAAAAGACATGAGACAAAATTTGTATAATCTTTCAACACTTAAATGTCTAGAATGATATATAGAGCAAATCTGTTGCTTTGTGACGATTTACATGCACCTAAAATGTAATTAAATTGTAATAATGTAGTTGGGAGAATAAAGGCATCGATCAGATCAGTTTTTCCCAATTTATATCATTAATAATGGTTCGTTTTCACTCAAACTTTCAGATTATCATTAATTGTACATCTAGCACACCACTTTCTCTCATCTGAACAATGTCCCTTTAAGTCATATTAAAAACCCTTTATTTTTTCACATCCCGTTGCCCACTTCCGTTATCCCAACATCAATATTTCTTTGAATAAGGTGTACCTTGTGTTTTGTTATAAATTTGCCTAAAATGTACTGAAAAACAGGGGCGTGCCCCCCCCCCCCCCCGGCCAAAAAAAATGATTAAAAAAATGATTTAAAACAAATAATAATTTCGTGACCAAAAAATAAATAAAAAGTGTTCTCTTACCCCCCCCCCCCCCCCCCCCCCCCCCCCCCCCCCCCCCGCTTATTCCCCCCTTAAATTCGCCCAAAATGTACTGAAAAACAGGGGCGTGCCCCCCGGCCAAAAAAATTATTAAAACAAATAGTTAAAACAAATAATAATTTCGTGACCAAAAAATAAATAAAAAGTGTTCTCTTACCCCCCCCCCCCCCCCCCCCCCCCCCCCCCGCTTATTCAGCCGCTGGCTGAGTCGTTGCGATTTTTTGGGGGACTAAAAAAACACATATATATATATGTTCTCTTTCCCACCGTGTCCCCCCCCCCCCGGCTGGATCCGCCCCCGACAATAAATACATTAATAAATATAAATACCTACCCCTACCCCTCTTACATTGTCTTTCCTACTTTTCACTTTCTGTCTAGACTCCCTCTCCAACTTCTCTCCGCACTCTCTCTCCCTCTCTTTTCTCCCCCTCCTCTTTCTCTCTTTATCTCACCCCTCTCTCTCTTTCTTTTCTCCCCTCCCTGCCTATATATCCACTTATTCTATTTTCCTTATATTGATGGGACCCGCACATTCCCTGATGTTACCCCACTGAATACGTTAAAGAATTTATAAATTAACTTAAATAGGTCTATGTCTTTAATAAAGTCAAAGAAGAGAAACGCATGGAAACAAGAAAATAAAAAGGCTTTTCTGTTTACTGAATATTTCATTCAGGCTAAAGATATACAAAGTGTACATTATTGCAGTGAAGATAACATTCTTTTAACACCGCAAATCAGGTTCTTAACATAGATATTCACGATCTATAATAAAAGAAGGGTGATAATGTATTAATGTATCTATGAATGCACGTATGCCTACACTATATCTCCGCTCTCATCAAAGTAGTCAATATTTATCCAAATAGTCCATGTTACACTCAATATAAAAAACCTGCACCATTCGTATAATTTGGCAAATATATAAAAACAATACAATGTTACATCGCTATATATGTCCTTCTTTTATCCTATATGAAACTATGACCAAAATATGAAACCATTCATGAGTAATTTTGGACACCCAAAACGGATTAGTCGCAAGGATGCAATCCGGAATAGCCCATCCCGTATCAAAACATGATCGCAAAGAGTTTCAAATATCAACATAAAGGCAGTTTTCTTACACAATTGTATTGTCCATAGAAATTATATTTTGATTACGTAATACGCCATTGTAATTTTCAAGGCTGTTGAAAGACTCTTAAGTTGATTTTCTGACAGGTTTTGCGAGCGTCTTCAAAGTGCCGTGATTCGTCTTATCAACAAAGAACAGAAATTTCAGAGATTCAATGGGGTCCTCGAATTGTAATAAAGTAGAAACCGAGTACACGAATGTTGAAAATTTGGTTGGAACTATTTACAAAGCTCTGCTATTAAACTTCATGAAAAAATGCAAATAGTATATACACACAACAAATCAATTCAAATCAAACACAGAGTTGCTTCATATTTCATTTTGCTAAATCTTTCATCATATTGAATTGTTAAAACTATTCAATTATTACATTTTAACAAGAAGAAGATAATTCAATTCATCACCTTGAAAAGCAGCAATGAATTACAAATTCACGGCACTAATATAAAAAGCAGAAGTATTCTTAAATCAGTGATCAAATATTTGATATACAAATGGTTCAATTTGGCACTTTTAGCCATTGTAAAGATGAATATAACGATAGTTTGCTGGCACACCTTGGTTAGTCGTAGTACTTAACACAGTGTCTGCAGATTCCGTTAGTGATTCTACTGCATTGTAAAAAAACAGGTGTCGATATTGTTGGGAAAGATTGATTATGTATTACATATTCACATACATAAACATACTCTGAAAATGCGTTTAGGATTGTTGAATTTCAACAAGAAAACACAAAGCACTGAACAATTAGATACTCAGTTGTCTTTGCAATATTATGTAAGTATCCCTTCATAAAGTGGGTATGGCAATTCATCAGTTATGTGATATACTTTGGACAAATATTCACATTTTATTAGTATTTAAATATTAATGCACGTCCCATCAGAAATCCAATACATTGTATCTCTTTAGTCAACAGGTTACCCCTTTTACATAGACATATTATTTAAAAATCTATAAATAGCAGCATTGTTATGGTATATTCTTTTCAGCTAAAAGGCTAAACTAGTTTATACCATATTCTTATCATCACCTAGTTCTGAATAAGGAATCAATCTCCCGAATAAAAAAAACATTATTATTGTGTCCAATACATGTACCAGTTTGAAATATAATGAAAGTTGAAAATGATGACCTGTCTTCAAACTTTTGAAAGAACACTTATAAGTTCACCATGCCACAATAAATATATAAGACATATACTTAAAAAATTAAGATGGACAGAAAATATTTTTCTAGACTATATTCCTAACTGAAATATTGTCTAACAAGCTTGAAAGACTTTTTTTTTCTTCTAAAAAAATGTATTTTACACTTCCACAGTATCTCCACAAAAAAATTCCAAAACGATGACGTCGCCATTGATATCAGGGCCCTGTTATCAATAACGACTGTAACCATTCTAAGAAATTTGCTAACAGCCAATCATATTCAGTGATTTCAGTAGCTTATATCAATGGCTGTAATTTGTTATTGGTAATAGCTTGTATGAAACAATGCTCGTAAGAAGGCAGAAAAGAAGCAGAGTTACCGAAGATCTGTTCAAGGCAAGATAATTTCAGCCGAGAAGGTGAGTCCATCTGGATATTTCAATTCAAACGCCGACAATTTAGAGTCTTGTTCACCTTTACACTTCTCTTGATTTTTTGTTTTAGTTCGTCCATGGCAAGTATGCAATATCTGTCTTCTTGAGGGTTATGGTTCGTCTAGTGTTGACGTCATCAGACATGGACCAATCAGAGAAGAAGGTGAGTCCTGACATGCGCTCTACGTCCATGACGCTCGCACGGTGCTCCATAAGATAACCTTCGAGGCTAATTGTCTGTAAGAAAACAAGATTGGTACTCGTGAATATCAACATATTTTGAATGATGAAAGTATTACACTGGTGGCAGCGGTGGGATGTGAGAAGTGGTACTCTTCTCTCACTATAGCTGTTTAGTTTCACCAAGTTTGATTCTTGTATGATTGATTGTGGGGGTGTTTTTGGTGTTAATTTTATAATTGTTGCACTAGTGGCAGCGGCGGGATGTGATAGGTGTTACCCTTCTCTCGCTAGCTGTTTAGTTTGACTGAGTTTGATTCTTGTATGATTGATTGTGGGATTTTTCGGTGTTAATTTTAAAAGTGTTACACTGGTGGCAGCGGTGGGATGTGAGAAGTGGTACCCTTCTCTCACTAGCTGTTTAGATTGACCGAGCTTGATTCTTGTATGAATGATTTTAGGGTGTTTTTGGTGTTAATTTTAAAAGTGTTACACTGGTGGCAGAGGTGGGATGTGAGAAGTGGTACCCTTCTCTCACTATAGCTGTTTAGTTTGAATGGGTTTGATTCTTGTACAATTGATTGTGGGGTGTTTCAGGATTAAGTTTGGGAAGTGGATAACGATTTGCACTTCAGCAAAATAACGATGACGTGACATATACACACAGAAAATAAGTTTTCATCTGTAGATTTCAGTATAAATCCAAAAGATTTATCGAAAACTTAAAGGGATAGTGTTCTAGGAAATGACTCAACGCTAAATGAAATGTTAAAAGGCGGGGCAATTTCAGTTTGTCACCTTATACTAGAAACTTCTGTGATTATTTAATTTAAAGTCTAATGATTTCAGATCATTCCCATCTGAAAACATATCTATTCTGCTAATGCCCGCTTATGAGCACTAAAATATTCTTTTGTTATTTTTGGCATTTCCATTTGTCTTATGTCTCATTTGTTGTTAACTTTTTGTTGTGTGTACATCCTATTTTTATTAATCTGAAGCTTCTGTATTTGTAATGACTTCTTATCTTTTGCAAGTGTTTCCCAAATGCTCAATATTGTTACTGCTATATACTCTCAGTATCATCATCATCATCTACATAATCATCCAACATCACCAAAGACTTACCTGTTGGCAAGGTAATCCCATGTTGTTGTGCGGTAGAATGAAAGCACTCGTTTCAACCCCGTTTACCGGACATGAATCTAGAGCTGTATTGTTTGCACACCGTGTAGCAATGATGAAGAAATGAGATGGAACTACAGTCTGACCGGCCCAGGCATTACTGGAGAGAGAAACAGACAGACCGACAGACATAGAGAGAGAGAGAGAGAGAGAGAGAGAGAGAGAGAGAGAGAGAGAGAGAGAGAGAAGAAAGAGAGAGAAGAAAGAACTTGTTACGAATTGTAATCAGAACTTCATCAGATCAATATAGGCAACTTCAAATACACACAGTTGACACAAAGGTAGAAGCTTCTTCTATACAGTGGCCAAATAAACAAGTTTCAATAACATATTAAATGATTATAACACCAATGATAATAATGGTTGAAGTAGTGTTATTGAAAAAGTATGATTATTACTATTACAATCATTATGACGAATAGTAATAATAATGGTAATCATTACTATTATTGTTATTATCAATCAAATAAATTTTGATTTACCTCTTTCTAAAGCATTGATATAGAAATCTGATCTGAACTTTATTTGCATTCTGATTAATTAAAATTGTGCACGTAGTGAAACTTTGTTTGAAATTTTATTAGAAATAAAAAATACCATGTTATAATAATATTAATAATATTCCGTTTTTACATAGCACTCAATACATCGATCCAACGATGTGCCTAAGCGCTTCACAGATATATTATTACCCCAGTCATCTGATTCAGGCTTACCAGCACACAATGTGTGCACATTTTCCAGTTGTAATCATGAAAATATTTATGCCAATGAGGTACTTACGAGGATGAAATAAGAGAGAAAGGATCAGCTACGCCATCGCGATTGAAGTCGTAGATGGGTCCCTGGACGATGTTGATGCTCCTCGATGATCCAAGGTTGGCCCATGTGCGATAGAGTCCAGTCAGTTGATCCCATATATCTGCAGACCAATGATTCAAGATATTGAAAGTGTCATTGTATTTCTCTAAGCTTAATTCAACTACCGTTATGTAATTTCAACTGTAATCAATAAGGGAGTGTGTTTTGAGGGTACATAGAATACAAGGACATGAAGAGAAACATTGATTTTCCTTGAATAGAATATACTATATAGCTTATGAAGAAGTCTATCAATAACAAGGGAGTTGCTCTTATCTTACACTTGAACTAATTGTCAATAATAAGGACATAATACATTTTGCCTTGTCATATATTTAAACTGCATTAGGGCTTTGGTTAAACAATGAATTAACTGACTTGCAATACTGCTAGTGACTACTGCTAATTTGCTATTATACTTCTGTACACTGATTTCATGTTTCAGTGTTCTGGCCCCGTCTTATACACAGTTGCGATTATCACAACTTTATTTGTGATTGAAATAATTCGCAACTATGTACAAAAGAAGCAGGAGACTGCAATCTTGCGATTGATTAGAGGACTCGCTACTGATTCGGATCAATGGCAACTATAAGACACAGTCCTGTTTTTATGAACGGACAAAGAGACCTTCCAAAAAATAACCTTTATTGGCAACACGATGTGAAGCTTTGACAAATCAGCGAAACTAAAAATGGATCCAAGAGATTGATACTATAAACGGTGACGATTCATATAATATATTTAGAAAAAATGATCAGTTTATTCTATCAAAATAGAGGAATAAATCCGCCACGTTCATGAACAAAATTCAGAGAAAGTTACTTTCATGCCGGACTATATACCTCAAAATAATTGGCTGGGCTTCTACGAAACTAAAACCAGTGAATATTTTCTAACCTGCTTCGAACATGGAGTAGATTGGTATGATGTTTGATGTTATGACTCCAGCATCTGCACTTCCTACTGACAGCTCTGATTAAAAGAAAACAATTGATAAATATAATAAATTGATCACAGAATGATTTATTGAAGCATTAATAAACATAGGTAATGATAATTTTCCTTCTCGTCTTCGACAACAAATCTATTTTGATAGAAATATGATGAGGATGATGAAAGTAGTATGGGGTTGGTGATGGTTATGACGAGTTTGATGATAATGGTAATAATTGCTATGATGATGATGATGGTGGTGGTGGTGATGTTGGTATAGTGGTGATGATAAAGATGGTGTGATATATGATGACGATGATGATGATAATGACGATGATGATGATGATGATGAAGATGATGATAATTATGACGATTATAAAAATTATGATAATGATGATAATGATAATTATGATGATGATAATGATAATTATGATGATGATAATGATAATTATGATGATAATGAAAACGATATTTATGATGATGATAATGATAATTACAATGATGATAATTGTGGTGGTTGTGTTGTAATGATCATGATCATCATGGTGATGAAAATGATGACAATAAAAAAAAAAACGTTAAAACATGACACAATCCACCTCTGAAAGCAAATTTCCTCCAAGTTTGTTTTTAACAAAAAAGATGAGGGGCTGATAAGACGAACACACAAAAATGGTAAAAGTAAAGAAGATATTCACTCTACCTGGTTGGAGCAAGAATGACTGTTGAATGTCTGGAGCCAGAGATATAGATTCTAATGGACCATAGGTATCACAGCTAGGATTCTCCCCTACGGCAAGACGAGTATCAGTGATGATGCAGTTGGTTGGCATGGTTACCGTGTTGAACTGAATGATAAACAATGAGAGGAAACAATCAGTCATGATGGGAATGAGGACAATAATAATAATAAATTATATATATAAAGCCCTTAAAGCCCCACTGTACTACTTGTAGCTACTTGAAAGCAATGCCTAATCGGTAAACATTGGTCCCCCATGATCCTCTTTTTCTTATGTTAATTGAGAGCTGAGTTGATGAGATAGCCACCGGTCAGTGACCACCCTGGGTGGTCTCATCTCTCCTAGCCAAATTATTACAGATGGCCTTTAATACTAATGTTATTAGGCGCAAGAAAAAGAAGAAAGGAAAAGGAAGAAAAAAGTGAGAGATACCAAAGAAACATATTAAAAATATTGAATTACAACGACAAAGGTATTGATCATATTTATTTATAAATTTTTACTAATTTAAAATGACAGTCTCAGTGATGAAGGCGTATGCCATAAAACATCCTCTCTAATCGGCGCTTTAGTTAAAACTATAAGCTAAGAAAGATAATCAACAGTCCTTTTCAGGACTACACACCCCCAAGAAAGATTACCGAGAGTTCTTTTCAGGACTCCTCGATCCTCCCTCCCTCTCTCACATGGTGCAACCGCAAGCCTATACTGTATAGCATGTATATTAAAAAATTTCGTAACAAATACGCACTAAGTTTGGTGATTCACTTCCTGAAAATCACAAGTATGAACCGCGAATCAATAATTATTTTCTAAACAACAATTATTCTTCAATTGCCCATTTAACGATATAGTGGGTAATATTTACTCAACTTTAGTACAATAAAATGAAAAGGGCCTTCGCTACAGTAGAGCATTGAATACACAATAAAATCCTTTTTCTAAAAATTCCATTTCCATTTCCGAACATTGTAATTAAACTGCAACTTATAGAAGTCTTAATATCCATGACAATAAAAACAAAATATATTTGAGTTATCATATAACAGATATATTAATATCTCCTCTGGTATTCATGATCGCTCTGAACTATAACTAATATGTTTAAAAGGGCCCAACTGTCATCTGGCAATGGCATATATTTTTTTTAATGTTCGACTTACCCCAGGTGTCAATGTAAATGAGGCGTATTTGCTGATAGCGAGTGTCTTATCATAAACCATCACATAGCTGCTTTGATAGAGCTTACAGGAGCTCGAGTCTGGGTTAACGGAGGAAAGAAGGCTGGGTGCACCAAACGGGATATGACGAACGGCTATGTAAAGCATAAATCAAACACAAATAATCACATTATTATCTATTCATAACAGTGCCCCCTTTTCTGTTATATACAAAGGTCCACATAATTTATCTACAATTTCGAATTTATCTATTATTAATTGATTGATTTTATTTCATTTCATATATCATTTTTTGCACGATAAAGAACAAAGTTTACAAAGTAAGTTCAAAATCGTGAAATTGAAACAGGAACCTACTGGAAAGCATAGTTTGTTTTTGTAGGTTCCCTTAATTGAAAACCGTACATGTTAATCATTTTAGCCTACACAATGAACAAGGAATGAGAAACAACAAAAATAGGCATGCTTTATTTTTCTTTTACAGAATGGTAGATATTTTGTCAGAGGATTCAACACCTGTCACTGTGTACAATTTAATAATATTTTGAGTTATGTCATAATGGGACTTACTAGATTTGTCGGAAAAAACGATGGTAGGATGGCAATAGATGGCCACTTTAGTACCGATTTGAAAAATACACTTTGCCAAAAAGCACAAGGTGGGGTCAAGCCAGATAAATTACAAGAATTATCGGTTATTACTAATTGTGTATTAAGACTTAACCCTCACATCAAACTAATTATGTAAACAAATGTTTTTAAATACCCCCGCCGTGACGCCGTCAATTATGATGCAAGAATACATTAAAAGCCCTTTTTCTATATAATCTCACTCTGCTACAATAGACTCAAGCAATGTTTTATTATCATATGTCGTCCAAAATAATCATGAAAAAGATTTATTTCAGCAATGACATCCTGGACTATGAAGTGATTTCATCAGTCGCTTGTGATCTAAAAATTGCTTACATTGGAAATATTTGACATCATTAGTATTTACCTGAGCTACTCGAAGCAGTCATGACGACCTGTTCTAGTCTCTCCATAGCCGTGGGTCCGTTCTGATTCACAGGGGCACAGGTGCACCCGGTATCATAAGCTGCCATATCACGGTTAGCGAAGGTACAGGTGGATTCAAGAGCGAACTCCATGGACATCGTGGGGAAGACTCCAGGGCTCCTTAACATGTGGTCCAGGGCACCATCTGTACCGTTGTTGGGTTCGCCGGTCACCCCTAAGAGCTCTGAAGCAGGAGAAAAAGGTTTCGTTAATTGATTAGTTCATTACATTCTACATTATTTTCCACATAGAAAATGTTTGGAGCCCGGAGGGCTTTAATGCATAAGAAATTATCAAAACAAGAGATAACATAAGGAATAACCTGGCTCTTCCGTTTGTTGTTGTAATGTGTTAAAGTAAATGAGTTAACGGCCTGCTGGCTCCAAACAAATATTAAATGATAATGATTGAATAATAATAATAATGACATCTATTGTTTAACCAGGTTAGCCTCATCAGTATAATATTGTTCTCCTTGGCTGGCTAACACGAAAAGGTGCTTAACAATTCAAGGAATATCTTCTCATCAGGCACCCATTTACTTCCCCTGGGTGGAGAGTGACAATTGTAGATATATGCATTGGCAAATCAAGAGGACGTTAGCAATATGCCATGGAGTCAAACCCCATACCTTGTGGTCCACAGTCTGATGAATGATCCACAAACCCACAACACCTCTAATTTCTTTAAAAGCGCTCCTATATATCCACAGTACTCAAGTTACGTCCCGGTCACCCTGGTTATAGAGAGCTTACTTTAGACTACCGATTATGGTGCTCATAGTATTTAAAGTCAAATCTTACATACCAGCTACCCCTTTGTACTACACCTGGGCCCTGTTTCATAAAACTTGTTATCATTAGTGCCACAGATCTATGACGAATCTGCTCATAACCAATCAAATGTAAGGATTTCAGTGGCTTGTAACAATTAGCATACCTTGTTATTAATAACAAGTTTCATGAGACAGGGCCCTGCGTGGATAGTTGAAAACGTAGATGTTACTTATTTATCTCACCGAAACGACAAAAGAAACCTTACCTCAATAGTTTTAGTTATATAGCTTTGAGCTATTTAACGAGAGTACTCATTAATATCAATGCTTCTATTTCTACACGACCTGCAATTATCATTATCCCATCATCGCTAGGTACCATCTTGGGTCAAGGGGGACAGATGTGGGTAAAATCCCTTATGCTAGTTAACATACAACTCTAGCGGTGATTAGTTGTGGCACTATTTAAATTGACCTATAGGATAAAGACTTACTAGTCATGAGATTGTACACGTCCATGGTATCGAATTCAGAAGCGCGATAATTCTCTCTGAAGCTCAATCCAAAACCAACGAACAATGCCTGAAAAGAAATAAGACATTTATTTGGTTAGTTTAAACTTCACAAACTAACCAATCAAAAGATATCAAATTCGTTGAGCTTTTTTCTAATTAACCATCAAAAATAATAAGTATTGCATTCTTCAGAAATGAATAAGAAGTAAAATCGTCCTTGTTTTCACGAAGTGACGGTAGTGAGGAAAATCGTCATGCAAAGTGAATGCAATTTGTTTTCACTACCGTCACTTCGTGAAAACAGCGACGAAATATTGTTGGCAATGTTTACACATGCATTTATCACTAAGCGAAATGAAACATAATTATAATCCAGTAAATCTTGTTTCATATGTTTCCCGTGACTAAATAGATCAAACTCATCTTTTATTCAGAATTTTAAAGTTGTAGTTTGGTAAATAAATCTTACTCATGATTCAGTTAAATAAAAGTTTAATAGACTTTGACTTATACCTTTGATTCGACCTCACTAGGATCATATCCATCGCTGGTATACTGACAACTCTGCTGTTCATAGTTTGTAGGAGTCCTATGAAAATACAAAATGAAATGCGTGGAGTAAGAAGACATGTCTTTAAAGACTGACTATCAGTTTTGTAATCACTGTAAGAGTCTTTCCAGTCGAATTGAATGAAAGACATAAAACAATTAATAAATGTACACACAAGAGGTTAAAACACGAGGCACTCTTCCTATTTTGCTTCTGCTCTGCTCGGTTTCTTTCTTCTAACTGTCTTGTAATTTGATACCCCGTTTCTTTTGTCAGTCTTCATCTTGTAATACGCCAACCTTTTCTTCATCTCTATCGTTTAATTTTGTTCTTCTAATTGTTTCAAAATCCTTTCCTTTATCTTCAACTTCCTCTTCTTCTTCTTATGTTCCTTCTTTATCTTCTCCGTCGTTCTTCTTCTTCTTCTTCTTCTTCTTCTTCTTCTTCGTCTTCTTCTTTTTCTTCTTTCCTTTCATATTTATTTCCTTCCCCTGCTACTTCCCAATCTTCTTCTATAATTTATCCTTCCTTGTTTTCTTCTTTTTTCCTATTTCTTCATTTACGATGTTGAGTCTAACTTTTCCATTTCCATAGCTCCTTGTCTTCTTTCTATCTGTTACTTCTCTTTCTCCTAATTAATAATTAGTGTTAATTTTCTAAATTCTCTTACATGGCAAACGACTTTCCATCTTTCATCAGAACGTAGACATCATCTGGTATCATGTCTGATGAGTAGTGATATCTAGCCGGTAGGTCATCGCGTGTGTATACAGATCCTTCAGCAGTAAAACGGCACTAAACGACCGAAGAAAAAATGAATTAGAAAATAAATAAAAGTGTGAAAAATACATGCTAATTTTTACAAGACTTCCGTTCATTTTCAGACGCTTCGGCTGTAAATCAAAACTGGAAATAAAAGAATGCAAGCATGGAACTAAAAGGGTGATTGAGGATTTGTTTATTTTCCATCAATTTTCAGAAGATATTCATTATACCATATATGATGAATAATGGTGTCTAGCAGATAGACCGTTACGTGTGTATACAGATCCTTCAGCAATATAACAAAGAGAACAAGTTATTTCTACATGACATGTATGTCAGCATGTACATATTTTTTAAAGGATCGAGAACATGATCATTTTTACTGTATTTAATAAGATATATCACTTAAGTGACATGAACAACTGATGAAAATATCGCTACCGTCATTTTTTCTTTTAAATCACACACGATATTCAGGTACAGGGACACAAGCCAAATATTCTAAACTGTACGAACTTCAAAGAATATTGTGTTCCAACCTTAATAAACAATGTGACCAATCTTTTCATTTTAATAGGAGTAGCATATTCCTGAAAGGTTTAGACAACAATATTATGGAAAAGTAGCTTAAGAACAGATTTTTCTGCCACTGAAGTGAAAGTGTGATGTGCATAGAAAAACGCCATCATCTGTCTAGACTTTTTATGATCTCCATTGTGTTAGTAGATGCCAGGAAAACATCACTTACGTTGATTCTAAGAACAGATTTATAGATTTCCTACTTTAAATTGGTTTCGTTCTATTTGTATGTATACCATATGACGCGAAGAAATTGGAGGTAAAAATACTTTTGTTCTGAGAGAAATTAAATAATTCATACCTTCAAATAGGCTGCTAACTCTTCATTTGTATCACGTGCATCGTCAGCATCTACGTTAGAAAGTAAAAAAATACATGAAACAATTATACAATGCGGTCGTGAAGTCTGCTCTAGTCGTGTGCTTTTGCAGATCAAAAGTACAATAGAAGAAATAACCAAATACTACCGATCTAAACATGGAAAGTAAAGAAGTATTTACTATGTATATATACAGATAACTTCCAAATTATTCGTATCCATACCAAGTTTGGAATTTTAAGTATATGAAAATTTGATTTGTCCAATTTATGTTTCTTGAGAATGTGACATATTAACAAAGGCTCGTATTCAACCAGTCCACCTTTCATTCTCGAGTTCCAACAAAAATACCCACACCAAATTTACAAGGAGTATGATTAATTCAGTTTTTAACTGTAGATCTTTGCAGAATGTTCGAGTTTGAAATTATGTTACCATGTTCACAATTCAACCTTCTCTGAACACCATGGACGTTTGACATGTTAAATAATGAAAAACAGATTTCTTTATTTCGTACAGGTGTATATTTACAGATTCTGTCGACAGGATTAACATTTTGGCATAAATCAAATCATTGATGTTCAACTTGTTGGCAACATTTACTTTATACTCGCAACTAGCCTCCCCTAACCAGAAATGACACAACAAACTACATCATTCAAACATTGAATAACATGGATGATTCGTAATGAGATATGAAAGCAAAAAACCTTTAAACAATTAAATTAAATCAAAATACGAATGGAGGTACATGCAGCAGAGTAATATTCTAATAATTTCATGAAATAGGAATTTACCAAGATCGTTGACTTGAATGCCTAAAAATGTGTTTAAATAGGTAGGGATGAATAACATGGTTGATTCATAATGAGATATGAGAGCAGAAAAACACATTTTTGTTAATTAAGTCAAAATCGAAATGGAGCTACATGCAGAAGATTAGTAATGTAATAATTTCATGAAATAGGAATTTACCAAGATCGTTGACTTGAATGCTAGCAAATGTGTTTAGATAGGAAGGCGTCATCTCGAAACCACGTGTGTTGGGTAACTGTAAAGAGAGAGAGAGTGATAGAGAGTGATGAATATACCATTATCGGAGGGAGGAAATGTTTCTATCTAAACTACGGAATGTTTCACGAATCTAAAATTCATCTACTGATTTCCAGCTTAAAATGTAAGAAGGCTAAACCATAACTCACCATCCTTATCATTGGTTTCACTAAATATCTAATCATGTCCAGTATATCTACGAACTCTTACTCAAATCTACTCAAATATGTCACAATGCAATCTCCTAAATTTCTCATTAATCATGAATAATCAAATCGAATCTCTTTGTACAAGGTGGAGTTTTGGAACTCTGAATATATAAAAAGGTGCGATATTTCCTCTCCAAAGTGTGAGCCAGGTGTATTTAGACATATCACTTCTGTCTTTTTTTTAAATAGAAATATGTACTTGCTGTTTGTTTACTGTTATATAACAACTTTTGATGTGATCTACTTCATACTTGAAACGATAAATAGATAAGATAAATAAATAAGATGATGACGTGGATCCTAATCAAATGATTGGTTAAGAGCGAACACGTGACCAGGTATTTATTTTGCCTACCACGTAATTTGGATAATGACCAGTCATTATTCAATGGTAATGACCGTTCATTATCCAATGGTAATGACCGGTCATTATCAAAATCATGTTATAAAACATCATTTTATAAAACAAATAAAACATAATCTTATAAAACAAATAATACACATCATTTTGTTCGGGCATTAGTACAAAATTTACCACACTCGGTACCTTCGAAACTGTTCAAAAGGTATCTCGTGTGGGTAATTCTTACTAATGCCCTCACTGCTGTGTGATTATTTGTAGAATACCCTACCTCTTGGTCTAAGAACTTGACATTGCTATTGCCGTTACCGCAGGTTGTATTCACCAGTGCCGATGGGGAGAGCACCATCGTGTTGAAACATCCCAAATCTTGGCGATCGTACAAGAAGTCGAACAGGCTTCCAATGGCCATGTCAACCTCCATGAGTGCTACATTAGCCTGAATAAAAAAGAAAGAAAGAATAACGTATGTGTAAACAAAAAAATTGTTTTATGTTATCACTTTGTATATTGTAAGTTTTTAAATATCGATTTTGTAATAGTAAATTTATTCTATCTTGTTTCGTTTTATGAACTTACTTGTACAAAAAAAATTAGTTGTAATGGGTTAGGCTCGACTAGCGCATGTGCTATAATCTGACCCCTTTTCCAACCAATAGTTTCTCATCTTGTATGTGTAAATATCATTTTATGAAATGAATTACTGTATTGCTGTTGGTAAATAAATAAAATAAAATGAAATAAATCACAAGGCGCCACTGAAGGAGGTGTAGTGGTATAGGGGTCATGGATTCATGAATCCACTTGAATCCCTGCCCGGCTCAAAATTCATTTGACAACATATAGAAGTTTACATTTGCCACTCTCCACCCAGGAGTGCACAGGTACCTAGCTTGGGTAATATTAGCTACAGGGCACTTTGAAAGAAAATAATTAATGCTGATAAGACTTTCCCCGAGGTGAGTAACTAAGACAACCTTGAGATTGGAAAATACATGAACTGTCTTCCTTCATGATAACAAAGTTTCAGAGAAAAATAAAAACACCATTTTGAGTTGAAAGTAATCAACACCCAATAGCCCATTTTCGTAATGTCATTTTATGCACAAACCTTTGTTGTTAGGTAGGACAAGCCATAATATTTGTCCTATACCTATCAACAATTAATATATGCATGGAATTTGCATTCCGACTATAGAAATACAACTATCCATAACAGGTGAATGAAATAATTTGTAAGGAGGCATTTATTAACAAAGATTTAATTTAATTTAATTACGAAAATGGTCTACATGACAGAAAAGTATAGTTTACAAAACATTGGTAATGATCTGACTATAGAAATACAACTATTCATGTGGACAGGTGGATGAATTAATTTGTAACGAGACACTTAAAAGATATCAAATTTGATTACATTACGAAACTGGTCTATATGACAAATCAAATAGTTTACAAAGCATTGGCAATGATAGTTTTATTGCACCAACCTCTGGTGAGTTGTATCCATATTGTCTGATTGTATCGCCAGGCTCATTGAAGTATACAGAGATGAACTGTGGACTGTGGTATAAACAATAAACAATTCGTGTAATTATTTATCATCATGTGTAACAATTTTTATCATCCAATATCTACAAATAAAGATCTGCTACACTTGATAAAACTTTGTTGGTGTGCATACAATATATGTGGTTGGATTGAAAGTATAATCACGATAAAAGCAAAGAGGTTAATAAAAGCAGTATAACAACATGGTTGGAATTCATTGAATTTTTATAACATGAAGAAATCTGTCACAAAATTCAGGTCTATTTAAAATAAGGGTTTTCTGTCCGTTTCAAGTATATATATATATATATATATATACCTTAAAAGAAATATCATAATTGTGCACTGTGATGATGGATTTAGTATTGCTAATTGCTAGTCTGTAAAGATGAAAATTATCCCCTCAATTTTAATGAATAATAGGGGGGAAATGTAATTATTTAGATCTACTAATATAAGCTTGAAAGAAAGGCATAAAATATTTCAATCTTAATTAATATTCACCCTCTTACATTTTGTCATCATCATCTTGTTCTTTCCATCTTATAAAGTGACCCCCTCAATTTTCAAGAACGAAAAAAATGCAATTATTTATATCTAATAATATTAACTTGAAAAGAAAGCATGACATATCCCCAATCTTGATTAATATTCATCCTCTTACATTTTTTCGACATCGTCTTGTTCTATCCATCTCATGACTGTATCAATCATATCCTGGGCACTCAGGCTTCTGCAAAACAAGAAATATGATCATAATGGTTATCTACTCTGTTGAAATCAAGACCTTCTGTTACGTTGAATAGTTGATATATTCGGCTAAATTCTATACTTTGCTTTGAAAACCTGACGAGGATGAATGCAAATATATAATCATAATCGCAGGCCTACTAACTGTAATTCTTGGATTGTCCAACACCAAAGATAATAGTTATGTTCTATTGGACTAAAATAGCGGCAATCTTTTGATAGCAGGGACATGCTTTCAGTTAACCCGTCTAAAATTATATTCTAGTCAAGTATTCAATGGAAAAGTGAAGGATATGTAAATGATAAATATCATAAGACAATTTCTGTCTTTTATTATAATACTCAAAATTACGGTAGAGAATTCCCCGTATTTTCTTTATAGAGGAATTAGGAAGCATAATATCGCAATTGGATGCGTATCTAGGACGGATGAAATTAGTTATTCTCTAATAAGCCAATAGTGATTTATTTATTTTTTTGGTCATATGGCTGAAACTTGAATTTAAAGACTTTTTGCCTTACATCATACACAAGCTGAGAGATAAATCATATGTTTGAAGCAATTAGGGCGTTAACTTCAACACAGGGTTAATCCCATTTTGGCTGTGAAAAGGAAAATACAGGTACTCACGAGCTGTATCTTTGGTAGTAGTTTGGTTTGCTGTTAATGGTCTGTCCTTCGTCATTATTGTAGGTTTGCATGTTATTACCGATCCATGAATGACTGGCTGTTATCACGCCTTGCTCACGGGCAGTCTGCCATAACTGAGAGAGAAAGATAGATGTGAATTAAAATTATATATATATATATATATATATATATATATATATATATATATAAAGAGAGAGAGAGAGGTGACTTATAAGAGATGGCCCGAGGAATTTCTTTTGTAGCGTTTGTTGTTGGTCGAATTCACACGCCAAAAGACTTGTGAAAAGTAGAACAAACAAAATATAGACAAATTGTGGGTAATGTATTTACTAAAATATTGAAATGTATGCCAATTGTATATCGTAAAGTCTCACAATTAGTAGCCTACACTTTCTTATTTTGTTCTAGCATCATTAATGCAATCTAATTTTAAAACACTTGTCGCTCTCTTAGATACAATTTCAGTCGTGAAAATGTTCAAATAGCAACTTCACAATATATGAATGTTGTGAATCATCGACATCATCGGCATCATTATCATCACCATCATCATCACCATGTTTCATCATAACGTTCATGACATCATTCCAAAAAATGTTATTCCAATACGTGCCTTCACGGTTGTTTCATCGCAAAGCATGCCGGGACATAATTCTAGTCCATTTTCACCTTCGCGCAGCGCGGAATACAAATTTGTTCGACCTACAAATTTTCACCTTCGCACGATCAGCTGTTATCATCAGCTGTTCATTGTTTATCAACAACGCCGGGATCGGATTTCGAATCAACATTGCAATCTTCTTCTTCTTCTTCCATTGAGTACAGTCCTCTTTCATTCCATCACCATTTGTACGGTAAGAAACCAACATTTGTGATCATGTATGTTTATGACGATCCTTCTCAAAAATAAAGCTGATAATACGATGTAAAGTGGGCTTATGAGAGTGGCCGTCCCATATGTTCAAATGTGTGTGTGTGTATGTACTTGTGCATTTTGCGTCGGTGGCTTGCCTTTTCTTTTCCAGCTGCTACTCGTGTTGTGGGTTGAAATTAACCAAATGTACAGTAAAATTAGACTTGTGTCTCAGGATATATGAATATATACATCATAGATAATAAAATACTAGAATGGGTGACACAGTTAATGACTGCAATGAAGAGGCAATGTCATGATTATGAAAACGATAGATTTTTTTTCTTCAATTTGCATCTGGATAATACCACACATAGTCTAGACGTAGGTGCATTAATATCCTGGCTCAGTGTATTAAAAGCTGTTGTATTGATTCCCCGGCCCCCCCTCTCCAGGAACGGAGGGACCGCATGCGTGTTCCCAAAATCTCTTGTCGTAACAAAGAAAAAGATCTGCCCGTATTTTTGACTTTACACACCGGACTTATGCTGAACAGGGGGGGAGGGGGGGGGGGGGGGTGTGCTGAAAATGCTTGTATAACAAATAAATAGATCTACCTGTATTGACTTTATATACCGGACTTATGCTGAAAGGGGGGGGGGGGGTGCTGGGAAGATGCATATGAATACCCTAAATAACACTGAGTGGGGGGGGGGGGGCGGATTGATTCTCAACATTTCAAACACTACTGTACAAAACTCTAACTGATTTCACTCAAAATCGGTTCTTTAGTGACAATTGATCATCGCTCTGATCTGATGGCAATTTAAGCATTGTATACAATCGTCAATGTACATGTAAATGCGCATTAAAAGCATAAATATTTTGGCACCGCCAAGAGCAAGCTGTATACAATTAACTTTGACATAGTTATACAAAATAAAAGTACATGTTTTTAGCTTACTGGCAACTAATGATACAATACTGTTTTATGGTCATACCCTGAGAGGACCTTTTAGGTCATGTTCTGTATACCGGACTTACGGGTTATGTATTTGAAACAAATTTGCTTTTCAAACAGTTTACCAGTACAACAATATGTACATGCTGTAAGTGATCATGTTTTGTACATTATATCTGAATACATTTAAACAATAAAATAACAAATAATGAAAGTGATTATCAAAACGTGTTGCGTAAATATTTTGGTAGTAGTGAATTGCACCTTTACTTCGTAACTTGTCAGCTGTCAATAGAATATTACATAAAACCTAACCTAATGTTGCTTATTGTAAATATATAATTTATAATTCATACATTGTAAAACAGAATCTAAGATTAAGTAAACGCAAGCTGCAACAATGTAAGAACTGTATGTTTGTACAGGTGAGGTAAACGTTAGACCGTACAATTTTTTTTTTTTTTTAAATTCATTGGCAGAGGACTAATTTTTTTGGCATACACCCTGTAGACTACTACACACCCAAAAATATGTGACATAAAAGACTAGAAAAGTAAAATATATCATATATTATACATCCAAGAAAGTAAAACTTATTAAAGTCAACTATGCATACATGTACATGTGTTAAATCTGACGCTTAGGATTCAATTCAAAGAATTAATATTATACAAATGATGCATGTGCATGAGTTCATTATACGATACCGGTACTTATTCTGAAGAAAAAACTGTACACTGTGCTTATGAATGAAAGTTCATGCAACTAGCGGGTCTTGCATGTTGCAGAGGGCTGCACAAACTTTGACTATCTGATCCGACAAGGGAATAAGACTCCACGGAAGAGTTCCTTTTATAATTCGGAAAGACTTGAGCCGCCTAATTGCACGTTCTACATGAATCCGTAAATTCGCAACTTTTTTAGTCTGCATCACCTGTTGCCTGGTCATCTGTTCCTGACCTCTTTTGCCAGGTGGGATGACTAGTGACGCTCGCCTCATCATGAGCTCTTCTGTAATCGGGAATCCCCTGTCAGCCATAATTGTATCTTGATTTTCGAGTAAATTCAAAAATCCAGATTCCTGAACAATGTGTTTATCTGTTACTCTCCCGCACCAGATATCGGACAGAAAAGAGATTAGGCCGTTAGGAGTAATACCAATTAAAAGCTTGATGGTATTATGTTTCTTGTAATCTGACCATGTAACAGCCTGTAGATAGAGATTACGGGGCCGCTCAATGAAAATTTCTGTGCAGTCTATAATGCACCTAACGTTCCTATATTCCTTGGTCCTAAAAGCTGATGGAAGGTTGCGACGAACAATATCTTTTGATGGCCACCACACACAAGGACCTAAAACTTCAGCCAAAAAATTGATCCACGTAAAGAAAATATGCGATGCAGATGCTGGTGATACACCAAAACGCTTGGCCAAATCTCGGTTCAATAGGCCAAGCCGGCACCTCATTAAAACGAGCAAAAACTCGTCTACTAATTCGAGCTTCCTTATCGGACCACGCTTCTTTGGTGAATTTTTTGTACCGGAAAGGAGTCTCTCATTTGATTTAGCCTCCTTGGCCCCTTTCCAATATCTCAATCGTCTTGCCTTCGGCTGAATGAAAGAAAATACACTCTGAAATAAAGTTTTTGATGGAAAACCTGTATAAAAACTGATATCACCATCAGACAATGAATGAAAAAATGTATGTTTGTCCTCTAATTTTTTAAGCCTCTCAACTTCGTCTTCTAATGATCGGATGATTGTCGCAGCTTCTTTACAATGACATGATACAGCACATTTACATGATATTCTATAATCGTGTCCACTTTCGGCAAGAACATTTTTAACTTTTAACGCAACAGATGGTTCAGCTGAATCAGCTCTAACAACCTTTGGGACAGGTCCAGCAGTCACAGGGTCTGGTACTGTTCGCTTTATTGTTCTTCTAGATTTGGGTAGAGGCACATCATATCCAAGATGCAAAGTAGGGACACGACTTGCAGATGGGGCAAGATCAACAAAATGTATCGAACAAACCCTGCTGAAGTGCTTAGGAATCCATGGCTTCTTGGTTGAAGGATCTACACGCCTTATTTTACGGATCCACTCTCCACGCAGTTGTGGAAATTTTTGTGTTGGGAATGGAAGAAACCTATAAGGAGGTTTGCAGGTGCACAGTTCCTCTTTACGGGTGCATTTGTGTATGTCACAGATTTTTGAGTTCCATTTGAGAAAACTTCGACTTGTGTTCTTACAGCTTACCACTGCACATGTAAATGAGGGCATCAGGTGACCCACCACAGCCGCCACTGGAGCGTCTACATGTAGATGGCTTGTCCATGGAACTCTAAGAAAAGAAAGTGAGACAAAAATAAATGTTTAATTTAGTTTAGATCTGAACAATGCCATGTATCAAATAAAAGTTGAATATATCGTCGGCCAGGTGGCAGAAGGGCGTAAGCGCGCGAGCGACTCGAAAACTACTTTTCAAATTATTCGCATTTAAAGATTTGTTTTATATTTAAACTGCTTTCCGTCCCGAAAATTGGTTTAAAACATAAAGACTAATAGTAATAGAAATGTTGTAGTAGAACACAGCCACAATTTTTTTCTCGAAAATAAATCAGTTTTATAAAAGTTTGAGGCGATTTAGTGCTATAACGCCCTTTTGCTTAATGTTTCATTATTGACCTGAAATTTGAGGTAACGCCCTTCTGCCAGCCAGGCGACGATATTTCAATTTCAAGATGAACTGGTAGACCCTATCAGAAAATCAATATACACTGTTCATAGGAAAATGCACTCCAGCGATGCATAGAGATCGGCAAGTTTGACAGTGGACTCACAATTTGAATTTTTAAATTATTCTTTCTAACATTGGAAAGTTGAAAAACTTGTATTTTACTGCTATTTAGGAATTAGGTGTCATCAATCGTCACTAAAGTACCGATTTTGAGTGAAATCAGTTGATTTTTGTACAGTGGTGTTTGAAATGTTGAGAATCAATAGCACAGTTTTAAATACACAGCCAGGATTAGTATTGCACCTAGATCTAGCTAGACCTAGTACAGACTAGATCTCATGGCCCTGGGAAGCGGGGGTGCTGCAGCACCCCTGGAAATTCTTCAGGGGGTGCATAGCACCCCCTGCAAATTTCTTTTGGTCTGATATATTTAATGTATATCATTATGCTTCGTGTACGAAATTTTCACACAGCCGACAGCCACAAATTACGTTTTTTTAAATATTTTTTTAAATCGTTCCCAGGGCCCTGCTAGATCTAGATCTAAGTTATGTGTGATCTATCAATTATAAATACATGTTACAAATCGTTGCAGACTCACAGTCACAGTCACACACACACACAACTGTCGGCCATTCTAGTATTTCATGCAAAATTTCTGTTATATTGATAAGCACTGATTCTTGTCCTTACCTTCAAATGACTTGTTTCTTGTCTGTCATTTAATAGATGAATTACTTGAATTCTGAGCACATTTCAGTAACACAAAAAAATCCCGTGGTTGACCATGTTGACAATGCAATGGACCACAATGATCGTGAATCGCGCGAAGGTGAAAATGGACTAGAATTATGTCCCGGCATGCTTTGCGATGAAACAACCGTGAAGGCACGTATACGTGCCTTCACGGTTGTTTCATCGCAAAGCATGCCGGGACATAATTCTAGTCCATTTTCACCTTCGCCGTGATCAGCTGTCCTGTTGCAAACAACGGGATTCGTATCGAATCAACATCATAATCTTGTACATAGTCCGCTATTCTGCAGTGATTTTCTTCCAATCCAGTATCATTTGTACGGTAAGGAAACCAAAGTTTGTGGTTATTCATTTTTATGACTAATAAAGCTGATAATACGACGTAATGAGAGTGGGCCGAGATCCAACTTTAGTAAATGTAGGCCTAGATCTAGTCCCGTATGTTCAAATGTGTGTGCATTTTAAGTAGACTGATTGTCTTTTAAGCTGCTTAAGTACACTCGTCTCGTGTTTTAGGTAGAAATGTACAGTAATATGAGATTTATGTCTCATGAAATATTAATAGACTTTCTAGATCCTATAATTGATAATGGAATAGGGTCTACTAGAATGGCTGACATTTAGATAGTGATTGCAATTAAGTGTAAAAAAGTAAAAGAGGCCATGAAAATGATAGATTTGTCGATCTGGATCTGGATATAAATTCTGATATCGATGAGCTCAACTTGAGCATCTACGTGTTGAAGAAGTGATAAGGATTCTTTTGTTACAATCATTCTTGTGGTCACGAACTTAATATGATTGTCTTTTCCCTTATATTTATCAGTTGCAGCATCATCGAACACGGCCGATGAAACAGAAGATAACGTGCATGTAGATGTTACGAGAGAGCTCATTTCACAATGGACAACAGAAGTGTTACGTGACTTTCTACAAGGAGGGGACTCAAGCTTGGAAATCGAGTACCGGTAGTCATTATTTTATGGGTGTTCTCTGCCTTGACGCGGTAGCTGTTCAGCCATCCGAGGTAGACACTGTGAGGAACTGGACAATGGATGGATTGGGGGGGGGGGGGGGGGGGGTGGGGGTAGGCATGCAGAACTGGCCTACTATGTTTGTATGTACCTACTGGATAAGGACCCTCCATCACTAGAGGGAAAAATAATGAGAGACTACAAAGAGGGGAAGGCATATAGTTATTTTGCCTTGTGAAAAAATTAGATTTAGCCCCTAAAAAAGTGTTCCTTCGGGTATCAAATGACAACAGGTGAAACCTCACAGTTGTAGAATTATTATCTGTAATGTGATTTCCAAACCATGTGACAGCAAATGGTGTATGGTGTATGTTGTAAAGGTATTGTAAAATGCATTGTTTAACAATGTATAACAATGTTTAAACCGAGATGGACGTATGGCCTTACGTGCTACCAGTGTCTGTGATATGGTGTATTAATACTGAAGCCCTAACAAAATTGTGCTTCAAAATGATCAAGAAGTGCCTCTAAAAAGTAAAAATCTTTGTTTGACCCCTTTTACCATACTCGTTTTCCCCAATAAACTGTAGTGTTATGAAAACCGTTTGGCAAACACAAAATTTGGTTTCGATTTCCAATCGTAAATATCTTGATAATCAGACAGGCGATCGGATTGTAAAAGTCATTGAGTTCCTGACTGACCTAAATTTATCATTGCAGCATGAGCTAAATCCAGGATTTTGTTTCAGAATCTGAGAGTAAGTTACCCGATCCCTTTAAATGTGTTTGCATTAAAGGTGGTACCCCCCCCCCCCCCCCCCCCCTCTCAGCAAAAGTCCAGTGTGTAAAGTCAATACGGGCAGATCTTTTTCTTTGTTACGAGCCAGAGATTTTGGGAACACGCATGCGGTACCTCCGTTCCCGTTCCTGGAGGGGGGGGGGGGGGCGGGGGTGGTACGACTTCTTCATAAGATGTCAACTTATATGCATTGCATTAAACCTGTTGATATTGATCTAACTTGTATTCATCTCAAAGTTATATTTATTTTATCAATAAAATAAAACAACACAGAGAAGGTTGTAGATGAGTACTAAGCAATCATTACTGTATGTAGGACGCCGAGTTGAAGTTATTCATGATTTATTCAAGAGAGGAAGGTCAGACAGACCTGATGTTTTAAATATTTAACGAGAGAAAAATCATAGAAACAGAGAGAGGCATCGAGAGAGATGTCGACGCTTAATGAAAGAGAAAGAGTGATAAGGAGAGAGGAGAGAGAAAGAGACAGAGAGGGGAGGGAGAGATAGAGAGGGAGAGCAAGAATTAGGTGTGAAGAGGAAGATCTAAGAGAACAAGAGATTAAATTTTTAAAATGTACACGTTTCCATGTACCTTTACTTAATTTATATTATAATGTAAACGATATTGTGATGGTCTTTGCTTAATTTTAGTTTGCATTCTTTCCTTTAGCTTTATCTTCTAATTTACTATTCTAATTTAGTAAATGTTAGTATAAATATAATTTTGATTTCTATCTCTTCCCCTATGTCATAGCCTCCATTCTTGCTCTCCCTTCCTCATGTTAGTCCATCTCTCTTTCTCTCTCTCTGTAATGATAACCCCTCTATCAATCTTTTCTCCATCAACTCATGATATGTTCCTCCTCTTCTCCTTCTCGTTCATCATCTCAAAACTGTATTAATCAATCTATAAGACTCTTTAGATTGATCAATACAGTTCTTATAACATATGACCTTTATGTACAAACAATAAACCAAATGGTCACAATCATTTAATAAAAAGTGGTAAGAACAATTATTCCAACTCTATGGGCAACAACGTAATCTCCATTTTCTCCTCCTCGTTCAAATATTAGCTTCTTTTTCATTCTTTACTCGTGTTACTTCTCTATCTCTCTGACTATACTCACAAGAAAGTAGAATCAACGGTTTGACATGAAACAGTCTAGAAAATGAACTAAATTTATTCAAGTATCAAATGATTTTGAATTACAGACAGCTTTCTCCCACGAGATGAAAAAAATATCTCCCTAACCAGAAACTGGCAAAATAACTAAATGCCTTTCCCTCTTTGTAGTCTCTCATTCTTCCCTCTAGTGATGGAGGGTCCTTATCTACTAGGTACACACGAATGTCTCTATACATAGTAGACGACCAGCTCTGCAGTCTGCATGCCTTTCTCCCCCCCCCCCCCCCCCGCCCCCTCTCCATCCATCGTCCAGTTTATCTCTACCTCGGATGGCTGAACAGTACCCCCAGAGTCAAGGCAGAGAACACTCATTAAATAATGACTACCGGTACTCGATTTCCAAGCTTGAGTCCCCTCCTTGTAGAAAGTCACGTAACACTTCTGTTGTCCATTGTGAAATGAGCTCTCTCGTAGCATCTACGTTATCTTCTGATTCATGGGTCATAGTGTTCGATGATGCTGCAACTGATAAATAAAAGGGAAAAGAAAATCAAATTTAAGTTTGTGACCAAAGAACCCTCATCACTTCTTCAACACTAGATCATGTAGCAGACGTGTATGCAGGGGGGAGGGAGTTTCGGGGGTTGAACCCCCCCCCCCCCCTCCTCCAATTTTGTTTAGACTATGTGTGTGTGTGTTTTTGAGGAAACCCCCCCCCCTCACTTTTTTAATAACAAAAATAAATTAAACATTTTTTGTGCTAAAGGGTGACCCAAAAAAGGTGACCTTACCCCCCACCAACTGAACAAAATATCGGTCTCCCAAATTTCATATTTTCGGGGAAAAAAAGAAGGAAAAAAAAAAGGTGCTCTTACCACCCCCGGCTTATTCACCGGCTGGCCGAGTCGTTGTGAAATTGACTGCGTGATTTTCAAATTTTACCCCCCGGCCCCCCCCCCCCCCTCGAAAAAATCCTCCGTACGCCCCCGTCATGTAGATCCTCAAGTAGAGCTCATTGATATCAGACTATTATATTCAGATCCAGATCGAAAAAATCTATCGTTTTCATGGCCTCTTTGACTTTCTTACATTTATAATTTCTAATTGCAATCACTTTCTAGGCCTAACTGTCGGCCATTCTAGTAGACCCTATTCCATTAGCAATTATAGGATCTAGAAAGTGTATTCATATTTCATGAGACATAAATCTCATATTACTGTACATTTCTACCTAAAACACGAGACGAGTGTACTTAAGCAGCTTAAAAGACAATCAGTCTACTTAAAATGCACACACATTTGAACATACAGGACTAGATCTAGGCCTACATTTACTAAAGTTGGATCTCGGCCCACTCTCATTACGTCGTATTATCAGCTTTATTAGTCATAAAAATGAATAACCACAAACTTTGGTTTTCTTACCGTACAAATGATACTGGATTGGAAGAAAATCACTGCAGAATAGCGGACTATGTACAAGATTATGATGTTGATTCGATACGAATCCCGTTGTTTGCAACAGGACAGCTGATCACGGCGAAGGTGAAAATGGACTAGAATTATGTCCCGGCATGCTTTGCGATGAAACAACCGTGAAGGCACGTATTGGTGGATGACTATATACGTCATGATTACGTCATAATACTTACTGGTTTGGCCTTGTACCACTGACTCTCGTCGAGATATTCTTGCGAGACTCTGGGTTCGAATACACGAGACGATCTGACAGTACTACGGATGTAATCAGATATTACTCCATGATTCTCTGGGTAGCGGCCCTGTAAACATGATGACAATGTATTCATTTATTTATTTATTTACTTACTCATTTACTTACTCACTCACTCACCCACACACCCACCCACTCATTTATTTATTTATTCATTTGTTAATTTAGTTGTCCAAATACACGAGCCCATCTGGTAGTACCCACTCACTCACTCACTCACACAATTACCCACTCACTCACTCACCCACCCACCCACCCACCCACTCACTCATTCATTTATCTTTCATTCATTAGTTTATTTGTTTGTTTAAATACACGACACGATCTGGTAGTACTACGGATGTAATCAGATATACTACTCCATGATTCTCTCAATATCAGCTCTTTCATTTAGTTATTTTCAATATTTATCTTTTTATTTTCATCTATTTATTCATTAATTGATAAATTCATTTATATCAAGTGATTAATTCATTCATCTAATCATCTATCTATCAATTTTTCTATTTTTTTTTTATTGTTTTACTCATGAATTTGCATACATGCCAACATTTGAAAATCAGAAATCTGTACAAATTATGCTATTTTCAAAAAAAGAGGAACAATCCTAACTCTCCTATTCAATACTACAGACAAATTTGTACAGGAAGAGGAACACCTGCATTAAAATGATAATTATCTTCTCCCAAAAAGAGGAATGTTCCTCTTTAATCTGAACATTTGGCATGTATGAATTTGTTTATCTTTTGTCATAATATTGCGGATCACCAGAATGATGTATTATGTGGTCATTTTGGTTTACTTACAGTAAGAATCGTCCATAGATTGGGATAAGTTGTACTCGCAAAGGATGGAACCACATCGCGCGAATGAACACCGCATTGACCTGAAATGAAAAGAGAATGATGGAGACATTTTAGCAACAACAACAAAATCTCTAAAAGCAACAATACTTGTAAATTTCATAGTTATATTTAAAAAAACGCCTATATTTCCTCCAAAGTCCAAAGTATTTTGTTTTATCTTGTTGAAAGTATTTCGCACACTGCACATCACATTTGGTGTATGGAAGTACGCACACATGTTGTATGAATTTCTGGTCCCAACTCTTCAGCTACTTGTGGTTAAATCGTGAATATGACGACCTTTGAAGTGCAACCATAATCGGGAACATTTTCTTGATGATATTCTTCCAAACTACAACAAAAATAATGAGAACGCTCACATGTTTTTTTCCCCCACCTTGTCGAGAACTTAACCTTTTCTTTAAATCTTCATGTGTCCGTAATCTGTATATATTTATTTTACTTTGTACTCAAGACAGGTGTCAGTCTTCGGACTGTTTGCTCTTGGTTTTGATGTGTTTTGATGTGTTTTGATTTCAATAATCCTATATATATTAACTCACTCATTCTTTTGATATTTCTTGCGTAGTCCTGTTCAACATTGAATAGATCACCGGGCAAGCCGTCTACTGCGAACACGATCAAGGGATTGGATGACCTGCTGGTGTATCTATCAATGGAGACAAAAAATAAAGCAAACATACAAAATCGTTTACAATATATACATCAAGAAAAGTAAATACAGACAGTCGTCGCATATCAACCCACCACGTTTTGAGATCATTTATCACAACGAACAATTCCTGAAGCCCTCTTGAAATTTGTGGTAAAGACGAGCTTATCTTTGGGGAGTATTTAATAAGAATACACAATATAGGATATATTTATATAATATCAAAACTGTAGGTGGTATAAATTTGCATACAGAGCTGAAACTTAAACGAAATATATCGGCAATTTCTCTCACTGACCATTAGTTTTGTTATATTGTTGTTTCTTTATGATTGCAAACATCCTAGCATGTTTAGGTTACTACCAATAGCGAGGTTCAACTCATAATACACCCTTGTCCGGCGCGTATTCATACAAACAACTTTATTCACAAACGTCCTTCTCTATACACAAGAGTAGTATTTTTTTTCCTGGTAAAAGTAACACCTCTATTTAACGACTGAAGAGGCTGCATAATGCCGGGTCGATAATTATCAGTGGATACATTTTTGTACATTGTTGTGCGCTATATAAAAAGCAAAACATTGCTGTAACATTTCTTTTTATTTTGCGAATCAGAATATGGAGAATTTTGGTTCAAATGAAAGAAGACTGCAAGGCCTATAATTCAGCTCATATTTTGCGACTTACTGAGCTCTGTTTCGGCAAGAGAATCTGCATTCCTCTCCTGCTGTATTAGCGAAGATACCTGCTGAATACCCGGAACCTAGAAACATAAAGTGATTACAAAATGAAATGTTAGAAAATTCAAGTTGTTGTATAGTCTTACAATGCTTATGCCGTGTCACAAACAGTAATTACAGTGAAACAAGTCCTAAACAAAACAATGGCAAAAAGAGAGACAGTGTATGACAGAGAGAGAGAGGGACGGAGAGTTTGAGTTTGAGTTTATTGATTTCACATTTCACATGCAGAAATAATACAGATAACAAAATATACATAAAAGACATATTGTTTCATAATTTAAAAAAATGATTGTATTAATTGACAAGGTAATCATCACATTTGTTTGACAACTGATATCATTTAAAGGAAACCCAGACAAAAGTACAAACTGTGAAATGTGCAGGAACCTATAGAAAAGCAGAGCTTGTAAAGAATAGGTTCCTGGGCGACTTGAAAAATAACAGAAAAAGTTTACTGTAAAGAGAGGTACACAATTAAAATTAAGACGGAAGTAATTTGACAAATAGTTGTTTGCGAGTTCAATACAATACCATACAGAAAAAAGAAAGAAAAAGAAATACATTAAAACGAAGAGTAGTAACGAGCCAATAAATAGCAGAGTATGCACCTATTTCTACCACACATGTTTGCACCACCTGAACGTTTACAAAAACCGAACAATAGAAATCATGAATTATTCATTCCTTTCCTGTTAAAATCACACAGGCAAAAGAACGCCTAAAATTGCAAATGAATTGTAAAATGAATTGTTAAATGGTACACGTTATAAAAAAAGAACATTATACATGAAATGTCTAATCATCATTATTGTTGTAAGCATTCAACAAATGTAACTTGAGTTTATATTTAAATTGATGAATAGAAGAAGAGTGAAGTAAATCAGGATGAAGATTGTTCCAAAAAGACGGACCAGTATATATACAATTGTTTTTTGAGAAAATGAAGTGCGTAAACGGGAGATGTGAAAATCATTCCTTTTCCTGGTAGGGTATGAATGAATATCCAAGTTCTTAGTGAAAAGAGAAGCAATAGATTCAGGCAAATCATTTGTTGACAGTTGATACATGAAAATACCCAAATTATAGAGAAATATATCAGATACATGTAAAAGGTTATTGTTGAAAATTAAGATGTTTGAATGTGACCGGAAACCATTGTGAATTATTCTCAGGGCTCTTTTTTGAATGACCAACAAACTATGCAGTTGAGTCTTGGAGCAGTTGCCCCAAGCTAAAATACCGTAATTTAAATAAGGGAAAATTAAGGTGGAGTATAGATTCAACAGGACATCAAGAGGAAAAAAGTGTTTAAGTCTGTTGATGACGCCAGTATTTCGTGATAAAAGTTTACATAAATTTCCAACGTGCATTTTCCAATTAAGTTTACAGTCTATAACAAGACCAAGAATTTTTATGTGTTCAACAAATAAAATGTTTATGTCATTAATGGAAATTTTACCAGGTAGTGATGTAATGGAGTTACTGAAAAGCATATAGTTCGTATCAGTCACATTAAGAGATAATTTATTGGCATTAATCCACTCCAAAACGGATAGTAATTCATTGTTTACAACGTCAGCAATAATATTGGGATTTGGATGAGTAAAGAAAATATTGGAATCATCGGCAAAAAGTATGAATGACAAAATGGGGGAGGAAGTTTGGAAATCATTAAAGTAAAGTAGAAGCAAGAGCGGACCAAGGAGAGATCCTTGCGGGACACCACAAGTGATATGTCGTAGACATGAGTCATGATCATTTAAATTAAGATATTGCATTCTGTCTGTGAGGTAATTCCTGAACCACTCCAAGGCCTTCCCTCTGATCCCATAATGGGATAGTTTATATAAGAGAATATCATGGTTAACTGTGTCGAAGGCCTTGGAGAAGTCCAGGAAAATGCCAATAGTATGGGACATAATCAATAGCACATGCAATCTTATTAATGAACATGAGTAATGCATGAGTTGTGGAGTGTTTACGTCGGAAACCATATTGAGATGACGATAATATATTAAATTTAGATATGAATTTAAAGGTACTAGTATAACTAAGCTTTTCTAACATTTTTGAAAACGACGAAAGCAAGGAAGTTGTGCGATAATTACCCAAGTCATCTTTACTACCAGATTTAGATATAGGAACCACCTTAGCAATTTTCATTTTTTGAGGTACAAGACCATTTAGTAAAGATAAATTTAAAATATGAGCAAGAGGATGGGCAATCACACCGATTACCTTTTTAAAAAGAAAATTAGTTATGCCATTAGCACCTGCACTTTTTTTATTCTTAAACTTATTGACAATACTAATTAATTTAGAACAGTCTGTTGGAGTTAAAAATAATGAAATAATGAACTTTGGTTGGAATTTGTGAGAAATAAATGAAAGGGTTTACCAGATGTGGGTAGCAAAGCTAGCTTTGTCCCTATTTGAACAAAAAAAGAATTAAAAGATTCAGCTAAATCACGAGAGTCTTGAATCTTCACACCATCATCAATCACACTCTCAATGTGTATAGTCTTAGTTTTACTTTTCAGGACATTATTAATAATCTTCCACGTATTTTTAGCATCATTTTTATATAAATTGAATTGTGAAGAATAATTTTTTTTTTTAGCCTGTCTCAATAAAGATGTAAGAATAGTACGATATCTATTGTATTTCAATTTAGAGCCCTCAGTTTCTTTTACTTTGTATTTATAGAACAATTTGTTTTTACGATTAATGCACTTCAAAAGAAATTTAGTGACCCAGGGCAGTCTGGGCACTCTTTTGTAATTAGAACGCAATGGAATACATATCGGAATATACAGGTTGTATAAATCATCGAAAATTTCAAGGAACCTATTATAACAATCGTTTACATTTTAACAATTATATATTTCAGACCAATCAGTAGAGATAAGACTTTGTCGAAATCGTTCGATGTTCACATGGGACAAATTACAAAAACTCGACACCTGCTTACTGGAATTACACTGTGAATGAAAATTGGGAATGAAAGCAAACACTGGGAAGTGATCACTCAAGTCCGAAAGCACTATACCAGATTCAATATTAGAAGATACATTTGTAAAAATATTATCGATCAAAGTGTGACTACTATTTAATATTCTTGTTGGTTTAGTGATTTGGGGAAGAAAAGAATGGGATAAAAGCAAATTTAAGAAATCCAAATACTGAGAATTTGAGTCACACGATAACAAGTTGGCATTAAAGTGGCCCATTATAAAGCACATCTTGTTGGCAATATGAGGTGATGATAAAATAGTCTGAACAATGTCAAGAAATTCAATGAAATTACTTTGAGGTGGCCTGTAGATTTCACCAATAACGATATGTTTTTTACCAGGAACTTCGATCTCTATAAATATGCTTTCAAATATATCAGACATGATGGTTAAGTCATTAAGTATTTTGGATTCATAATCATTTGAAATATACAGGCCAACTCCGCCGCCAGTTTTGTTTTTCCTGTTATTAGTGACAAGAGTGTAGCCATCAATAAAGAATAGTGATGAGTTAGATTTAATCCCGGTTTCACAAATACCAATGAATGAACAATCATATTTAATTTCATACAGGAGTAGTTGAAACTGGTCAAAATTTTTACCGAGACTTCTGACATTGCATTGTAGAAAAGATAGTTTATTGACAGCCTTTGAAAAATGATCAATGAACTGAGATTCTGTAAAATAGTGTGAATGTTTGCTACCTGACAATGACTCACTTGAGTCCATGTTCAGTTGCAACTCAGTAGTGCATAAATTTAAATATTCAGCCGTGACAGCTTCATGACGAACGTTATCTGTAGTTATGTAAGAGGAGGATGCCTGTGAATTAACAGGTAGTAAAAGTTGTTGATCATTACCAACATTAGATAATAGAGGTTCACTCATTGATAAAACATGAAGTAACAGGTAAGTAACGGAGAATCCAGTAGATGAACTGGAATGAAATGTATATAAATATGAATAGGAAAGAAGAACGTTCAGGTGGTGTAAATACACAAAAGGCGTGGTTTATAATATGACATTTGTTGTATAATAGAATTAGAGATGGCTCGCAATATTTATTTATTTATTTATTTATTTCACATATTTATACAGGGTATCTCATTCAGATTAAAAACTGGTCTTCCATTAGGCCCTGGCAATAGAATGTAATACCCGATTTACTGAAAAGGAAGTTAACTGAATCAATTGTACATACGTATACATTCATTGGAAATAAGATCAAGACAAAACACAAATAAGAAATAAAAACGAGAAAATTAATTACTTAGCACCTGTACTAGAACACGTGCAAGAAACTCATGGGCTCCTTTCAGCCACCGCACGTAGAAGAAATTTAGAAAATTCAGGCAAAAGCAAGAGAGAGAGGGGGGAAGTAGGGGGGAGAAAGTAGGGGGGAGAAAGTAGTGGGGAGAAAGTAGGGGGAGAAAGTAGTGGGGAGAAAGGGGGGAGAAAGGGGGGGGGGAGAAAGTGGGGGAGGGGGGGGGGGGAGATACCCTTCTTACGGTATCGGGTTACATGTATGTTTACATGTTAATCAAAACTTAATTCAGAATTTAAAATGCATTTAAGTTGAAACGGTAAAATATATGTACATGTATCACACAGAGCACATTCCAGAGAAGGTAGAGAATAATTATCGTGATTTTTGTTCAATGCTGAGGTGATTTACCTTACTCCTACTGGTTATTCCACTTGGAGGTGTTTTTTTCCTTCCATTTGAGTTCAACTGAAGCTCCGACAACGATTATCTTAGTGGAGACTCCCTTTTGCTTCCAGAGGTCGTAAGCGATCTTGGCAGGAATTCCCCTCCTGGCTTTGAGGGCTGGGCGGAGGTCTGTGCGCACTGTGATTCTCACTGACGCCATGGCGCGATCTTGGGGGATCCTTTGGCGCTGACCGTTTTCGAAAGCGGCGAGTAGGCGGTTACGATCCTCCATGTAAACGAACTTCACGATGATTGCATTCGGGGCTTGTGGGCGGGTCGATGAGGCGGTAGCTCCGTTGTTGCGTCTTGGTAGGCGGTGTGCGTTTGCGATCGCGATGTCGTTAGCTTCCCTTTCATTGATGCCGAGGTGTATGAAGACCTTTTGCAAGACGTCGCGTACTTTTTCGTCGGGGGTTTCATTAACGCTGTAAAAAAGAAGATTGGCCCGCCGATTGTAGATTTCCATTATGACAATCTTCTCTCCGAGGTCGGCGATTTTTTTCCCCCCACTTTCTTTTCAATGGCGGGGAGATTTACATGCTGAAGGTTGGCAACCAAATCGGAATTCATGCTAACAGAATCCTCGAGTTCGGTTTGCCTGCGCTTGATGGAGGCCACCTCTGCTGTGAGTAGGTCCAGTTTCCCGCATACTGCAGCTGAGCTAGCGGTTATCCAGGGGGGTTATCGAACGCTGGATGTCGGCGAGCGTCAATTCGGGTTCCGCTTGCGGGCAAAGTAGCGGCTCACTTGGGCCTTGCTTGCTGGCACCTCTCGTAGTATTTGCACCTGGCGGGTCTGGAGATTGGGCGGGTCCGTTTGTGCTTACAGATGAACGTAAAGCCTTGGAATTAGCCATTTCCTTCAAAATTCGCGATAGTTTACCCTGCTTCTAGTGTGGAATGAGATTCTAAGATATGAATATCCTCTATAGTCCAGTAAAATCCTTGAAGCAGAAATGCTTAAGCTCGAGTAAGGGTTCGTTGGGTGAATAAAAGGGCGGTGGCTGGAGAGAGTTAAAATTACACGTCCGTTCCCATTGAAGTGTAGGTATTTTTGAGAGAGAGGGAAATAGAGTGAGGGAAATAGAGTGAGGGAAATAGAGTGAGGGAAATAGAGTGAGGGAAATAGAGTGAGGGAAATAGAGAGAGGGAAATAGAGAGAGGCAAATAGAGAGAGGCAAATAGAGAGAGGCAATAGAGAGAGGAAATAGAGAAAGAGAAATAGAGAGAGGCAAATAGAGAGAGGCAAATAGAGAGAGGAAATAGAGAAAGAGAAATAGAGAGAGGAAATAGAGAAAGAGAAATAGAGAGAGGCAAATAGAGAGAGGCAAATAGAGAAAGGGAAATAGAGAGAGGCAAATAGAGATAGAAAGAGCGGAGAGGGAAAGACAGATAGAAACGTGCATAAATTGGAATACTTTGTGAAGAGGTCTAATGTCTTGAGGGCGGGCTTACCTCGATTTCTTAGACCCAGGCCAAGGCCAATTGCGAAGAAGATTACCACCAGGAAGAACACGAGCTGCATGAAAAGATTCGCATTGACAAAATAAATAAATCAATATTTAATGTTGATTAAAATATAACCATTCAATCCAAACATTTTTTATGTGTATTGAGTTATTGGTTATGATCACCATCATCATTACCATTATCACCATCATAATTACCATCACCATCAGTCTCAGGATCACCACCATCATCAACATCATCATCACCATCACCACCACCATCCCCGCCACCACCACCTGTCCACACCAGTTGTTTTTGTTTTAGAACTGATATAATACATCACCTAGATTAAACATTCTTGTACACACCCTTTTTTTAATAGGTTTGATATTTTAGTGCATGCGTTTAATTGGGATAAACATGAAAAACGAAACGGTTTTGGATTTGTTGTCAACATGAAGGGATGATGAGGGTTTTTTGTGTCTTTTTTGTTGCAAATCTGAAAAGGGTAGTGGTGCGTTTGAAATATTAAACATGTTTTTTTTTATTAAAAAATTGCAATCAACATTTGACAAATCATTTAATATAATATTAACAATAGGGAATGATTAGGAATGATTAAGATGGATCTTACGGGCCGGAAAATGTAAGGGGATTTCATTCAAGCTCCTCAAAACAATTTAACATCCATCTCTAATGATATTGTACGTACTGATTAAAATTTTAATTATCAACACCTCCTCACCGAAATGGTCCAATATACCCGATAATGATATTTAATGTTTTTTATTGAGCCCTTTTACGGTAAAGAGACCAGACTGCCACTAATACAACAAAATATAAAAGGTTATATGCACCATATATTTTCTTATGTTTCATCGGGTTCAAAAATCAAAATGATTTTCTCTGAACATAACCGTAATCCTTTCGATTCAGATTCTTCTTCTTCTATGCCACATGCGTAGCATCAATAAAGTTGACACTTTTTACTTTCATTTTAACTCTTTCTTTAGTATCCAGTCAAAGTGGCATGGACAATTTATAACACATAATGAATATGTAATACATACAAAAAAAGTTTAAAATGAAAATAATAACAAAAATTGTAAGCATGTTATTTGTGGACTTGATTTGATACGATGATAACAGTAACGAGGGATGGTTATGAATGATGATGAGGGAGGGGTGGGGGAGGGATGGGTGCTCAAGTGCTTTCCAGTTAATAAGGAAGATTAATGGAAAGGAAAGATTTAATATAAAGTGGACAAAATCCCGGTTATTCATTCCCTCTGAATGAGACAAGCCCCCTCAATGCCTCGTATTAATCATCTTTATATTGTTACGAACCTCATACATATTCATATCAATATGTATATTTTTATGCTCATGGGTAGAACACTCGATATACATATGAACTTGAATATGTATGAGGTTTGTAACAACATCATATCTCCATGTTTTTAAACCGTAACCAACATTCCCAATTCCCCCTTAAACGACTATTTCATTATTACCATGAAATGTCTACATATCAGGTCAGTATTATAACCATTAAAATAAAGTCTTAACAAGCCATACCGCCAACGAAATAGCCATATGAATCTGTAGCACGAAAGCTTTGTAAAATACGCCTTACCGTATCCCGAAGTGAAATTTTGAAATCATGATTGCATTTTGAAGGAAAGCGATGGCAATAAAAAAAAAAGGAGGCCTAAAGCGTTCATGTTCATAAATTTATATGACATTATGAGTAAATATGATTTTCCAACGTACCATTCTGTAGCTCAAACATATTGAATTACTGAGTATTTCACACTACAGGAGAAACCTTAACAGAGTATTAAAAAGCAATGTTTCTGCATGTTTGTTTACATCTGCCTATAAATAAAAGCATGCATGCGCTTTCAGGATGCAAAGCAATTGTGTGTACCTCGCAGAATTTGTAGTTTCTTCACAAAGATTCGTCATGATTTCATAACGTTAATATTTACCTAAATAACAACCCACTATTGACTCATCTCCAAGTCATATTGGTGAACATAGCGCAGAAAAGGGCGTTGCAAATGCCATGTTTTCGAATAAAACGCGTGAGCTATGTTTTCATTATGATTCATATGGCGGACATCGCTGGCGGTTAGATTCTGGTATCACGTGACACTTACGCAGAGGATCTGCATTGCACCAAGCAAAATGGCGCCGTGGTAAAAATGTGACGAGGCAGAGCGGCATGCAGCAGGCGGGCGGCGGCGTGTTGTGTGTGTTTGTGTGTGCGAGGAGAGAAGAACATCGCGTTGTTTAGGATTATGAGTAGAGGGTGAGCAGGTTCATCACAGCACAATGGATGTTAGGGTTGCATGTTGACAACAACATTTAGGATTAGTAGAAAGTGTGGGATGTTAAAAAATAATGAGAGACATGGTTAAAAACGAACATGTTAACATGGATTTATCTTTCATGGATCTTAGATACTAGGCATGCTTCGATTCAATTCTTCTTTATAGGCTGTTTGAAGCTTATTGTACTCCTAAAGTATATATTGTCTTTGATAAGGCCTACATATTTCCAAAGAGTCATCAAAGATATTTAGTCAAATCATGCCATGCCTCAAGAACATAATTAAGATCAACTATTTAATATTTTCATTTTACAATAAAACAATCACATTTTCTATTGACAATTTGTTGTAAGAGAAAGAATTCTTTTTTAGAATGATCGCGATGACGGATAAGAAGTAAATGGAATCAACTTGTGATGGGAATAATCTCGGGCATGTATCGAATATAAGATATTTGATGATTTGTAACAAAAGGGGCACTATTTTTATGCATAATAAAAGCAAGTTATACAGCCATCACTCTTATTTTTTATTTCGAGCACACGGGAATGGCAGGGCAGGCACGGTTACACTTTGCTTATAAAATCATATGAACGTGTACTGGCAATCAAAAATCATTTAAAAGTCATTTGAAATACACTTCGTGGGAATTACTCCCATTATTAAGTCGCACGACTTTAACGATCCTTTCTATCCATTAACATGTAAACATGCAATGGATATAATCCATCGACAGTGTTATATGGAAAATAAATGAAATGATATTCCTTGATAATGGGACAACATTAAAGCTCACTTGAAATCAAACAATCGCTTAATCAACATCCACTTCTGTGCCATTCGATCTCAACTGTCTCGTCTCAATAAAGATATTTTTAAATATTTTACATGGGAACGTTTGTTGTCTAAACTTGATAATAACGAAATCGAATATATATGGGTATAGCGGCGAGGAAAGTTTGTTGTCTCAAGGGAAAATAACGAACTGAAATGCATTTGTGTATAACTGGTAAAGTTTGTTGTCTAAACTGGAAATAAATAAATGAGAATGTATAAGGTATAATGAGGAAAGTTTGTTCTTTTAACTAAATACAAACAAACTCAAATCAATTAGGGATGAGAGAACGAAAGATAATTCCCACTCACCCATAGAAGCTTTTCATGTCGTTTATACCAAACTTCATCATCATCATCATCATACCAATCCTCCTCATCTTTCCCCTGTAAACATAAAATAGTCTAAGGTTAGTCACCGTGGTTACGAAAGAATAGGGTTCACAACATCGACCGAACGTCTCTGCTATTTCTGAAAGTGCATGTGTAATGTATTGAACGTCGATAAAAATGTAAAACTTCAAAGATTTATTTGGGAGTATGAAATTAGAATAAAACAGATATACAATTGGAACAAATTAGCTCATTGTTGCTGAATGTGCCAGTAATTTAGGCCAATTGACATGTAAAATTACGAAAGGGTATACATTCAAAAGAACACGTCGTAAAACTGTGTATGGAAACTTGAGCTTGTACACACAACGAGAATAGAAATATACAAAATATATTTGCACTCACTGCATATAACAAACAACAATTTTGCAGTATAGTCTAACTGGTTCCGTTGTTTATGCGTAATAAATAGATATAATAATACAATTTGTAATGTATACACGATATATCAATTTACATGTACATGTAATTTTTTGGCAATATTTTAGCACAGCACATATAATTATGTACCGATTTCAATGCGTAGAAAATAACCCGAAAATAATGGTTTGTTTTGACAGTATATTTCCTTTGTCATGGGCTACTTTGTTTTTTTAACATGCAGAGAGTTCTTTTTAGGGTCTTGCTTTGAAGTAACCACAGATGAGGTATGATGTTGTTTGGTGAGAGAGCCTATATTTTTTTAAACACTACAAAATAGAATTAAACTATGACACAGTTTTTGAAGAAAAAATGATGGAGGAGAGAGGAGGGAGGCTGAGATGGGAAGAGTTTTTAATTGATTTGCAAGCTAACAATAAAAAATCCGCTATAAAACATTGTGAAGATTTAGATAGCTGTACAGTTCCAACTAGTCTGTTTTTGTATAAACGCCAGCATACTTCTGACTCTAATTATCTACAGTTTTGCTGATGAAAAGGTAATTTTCATTTTAAAATAGCAACGAATACAACAAAATACTAAAGCTTCATTCTTGGGATTTACACTAAAGAGCTATTTGTCTGTATTAACCGTTATTCACCGTTATTCTTCGATTTTGTTGTACCAATCATCTTTTTGATTTTTTTTTTTTTTTCTTGTTTTCTTTAAATCCGTGAGATATCTAATTTTGTTGAGTATGTTCGTTTCATAAATGCTGAATATTATATGTATGTTTGATTGGCATTCTCACCCGATTTCATAATCAGGGATGGATTTGGATAGAGGCAATAATACCACTAGAACAAACGTGAGAACAAACTATTAGAACGTATATTTAAAATGCCGTCTATCCAATCGTGTTAGTAAAAGTATATCCACAGTAGAGCTAGGGAAAGAGCTTGCATGAAAATGCTGCACATTATTGGCGCCAATTAAACCCCAACATTTTCCTTGATTATTACTGTATGGTCAAATCTGGACGTATGTCTGCGGTGAAGTGTTAGTAAAAATGCAGTCATTTTGTCTCTCTCTGTAAGGACCATCCTTCACAAGCATATCCTTTTCTACTGGTCCTTTCCCAATTCCACACTCTATATCGTATTATTTGTGTACGTTTTTATTGTTATGGTAAAATAAAATATCTTGAATCTTGAATGAGATTCGTAATTTATATAAAGGAATTTATCTATCATGCATCTAGCAAGTTCTGGTAATATAAGAAAAATATTTAAATGAAGCTCTGACATTATATTAACTGTTCAATAGGTCAAAGTGAATTATAGCTGTCAAAATAAGTTTCAAGGAAAATTTATATTAACTGTAAGTAGCGAGAAAATGTAAAGAAATCGAACTAGTAGTCCCAACCAAGGACATTAGACGTGGTCCCATTATATTATGTGGAACATTTAAATTCTAACTCTATTGAGTACAGATAAAGACAAGTGATGTTTGACTGTGCGGTGTGCATTAAGGTGAGTATGACTTCAGCAAGTTTCTGCAAGTTAGTACAAGTACATGTAATTTGCAGGTTCAAACAGCCAGGCTACTGCATTATAAAACATGAATGAATAAAGTCATTCTCTATGACATAAAATCATTCCCAAAATTTGAAATAAAACTATTTGAATTCGCCATGTATGTTCGTCGCGTGTCAAATTTGTTTTCCTTATTAGTATGATCGACTGAACAAGACGTGTTTAAAAGAGAATATAACGAAGTCTGAAGAATCATGAAAAAAAACTCAAGGACAAATTCTGTACATGTCTTTTGAAAAAGTACTGTTGTACAAAAATAGACGAGAAGAATGTTGTTATTATATTGTTTTTCTGCCCTGATATATTCAGTATAAAAATTAATTTCGCCAATTTGACGGTCGATTAGGCATTAGTCATTAATGATTATGGTGAAAGAAAGACTTTTAAAAGCGTTTTTAATATCTAGAGCGTGCACGTGTGTGATTGATATTTTAGTTAATGTGGTAGAAATATATTTGTATAGTTCATGCTGTTCTGAAAATTTGATAGTGAGGAAAATAAGATCAAGTATAAATGATTTGGATCCAAATAAGATTTATAAGACGAGCACTCAGTCTTGCTGAATACAACATATCAAGACCGGTGCCCATCACCCCTCCCCCGTCCATCGTTCCCTCAACTAACGGACTCTATGGCTTTACAAAAAGGTGTTGTATTGCCCTTTGCGACCGACCCCAAAATTTTAAAATATGCGGTCGGCATTGTGTTGAAATTATTTTGTTAAAACCATTTTAGAGAAGAAAATGTTAGATAAATAACAAATGATGTATCAAAGCATTCAAAACTGAAAAAAATAGCCCAAAGAAGAAAAAAAAAAGAAAAAAAAGGTAATCAACAACAAAAAAATCGACCGACCGACCCATGGCTGCTTGAATGGATGCATTGGCGATGGTGCTTATTAAGTCAGATAATATTTTGCAGATAAGGGAAAGATTCTTACCCCAGCTCTGGCCATCTTTTCTCTCTTTTCCCTGGTTGTCATAGGATGCGATGAACTCGTCGTATTGATGGGTTTCGAACCCAAGGCACTCGAGGCAGCCTGGATATGTATAAATCAAAATTATTAAAATTATTAAAAAAAACATTAACAAAAATAATAGACGGTTAGACAACAATATCTTTATGAGTTTACTTCCCATAACAATAATTTGAAATGCTTGTAAAGAACCCAAAACACAAATGCACAAAATCATCAACACAAACATAATAATAGGCAACATCATCCTCATGATCAAAGTGGCACTGTGGTATGTTGGTAAACGCTCTTGTCTCTCATTCGAGCGGTCCTGGGTTCAATCCTCACTCGTAGCTTACATATTTGGACATGGTGTATTATCCACATTTGTTCCCAAATGTACACGGGCTCTTGTTAGTGTTGGTATGATAATAATGGCGGGGCCCGCGGGAAGAGCGTTGGTACAATCTGTGTGGCTATACAAGACCAAACTATATTATGCTTTCATCTTCACTGCATATGGAAGGAGTGTTACATTCCATGTATGGATGTAGTTCAGTTGCTGTTTTACTGGTACATGTATATGCATAGCCTTGGAAATTGTGTCAATTGACACCTGCGGAGACGAAGACATTGTTGTGACGCATACGGCTTCAAATAGGTCATAACAATAGGTTGACAGACAGTGTTGGACCATGGCAAGAATATGACTAAATTTCAATATTAGGAGGCGTGGTGGTTTTAGTGGTAGATCAGTAGAGTCGTAACGTGAAGTCTTGGGTTCGAATTAAAAACCAAGTTGATGCACTATAATTCGGTAAGGCATACATGAATACCACGTCTCTCGCATAGTACTCAAAGCCCTAGATCTACTGGTTACTCATCATAATCATAATCATTGTTTTCGCGCATATCGCTAGCATTACGAAAGTTTCGGCGCTTATCTACGATATAGCAGTTAGGTCAGACAAATTTAAACATCAACATCTGTTCATTACCAAGACCAATTTATACATCAATTCAATTAAGGGAATATTAACAATGATTAAATCGGGGATATCTATCAACTAAATCGAAAAGCTGTACAGTACAAGTTTGAAATCATGTTTAGAAATTCAGCGGGGCCCTCCCTAAGAACACTGATAAAACCAATGAGGTACCCTGGATAAATGCGACCACGTCACAATGATGATCATTGTTATGAAAGACCAGCATAGTCCATGCACTTCATTATACGTACATGTCAGCTACACCTCAATACTATATGGAAATAGCTTTGATCATATGATCCTCATTTCAATCAGTTTATGCTCAGAAATTGCCCGGCGGCCATTTTATTGTTACCATGGGTTCCACCTCACGTCTCAATGAGTGCTTCCATTACATGCAATACAAAAACATTCTCGTATTGGGGGTTGGAGAGGAGGTCGGGCAGCAGACGTGTACAAATGTGTTCACATTTCCCCTGGTAGTTATTATATTAGGTTTGCCGAGGGATACATCTTCCCCTGTGCCCCTACTTCCTTCCCCCTCCCTCCTTCCCCCTCCCCTAAATCCATTACTGGCTTATATATCCATCTCTACTCCTGTTATCTGTTCGCAATCTAGCTGACATCAATACTAGCATACATACACAGCTTGGGCGTGTTAGGGGAATACAGTAATCGATTGATGCAAAATTAGATATCATGGTCTGTGATATACGGTATAATGCATCATGTCGATCAATATTACACATAAATGTAGGCCACTGTAGGTGGGGAGGGTATATATATATATATATATATATATATATATTATATATACACTGACTTTATCATGGCCTGTAAGCCTACAATACAGTTAACAATTAAAACTATTCATACCCCTTGCATATTAAATTTTGATGTTTTTTTATTTTTTGGTCTTTTTCGTAACTCAAGCATGAAAGGTGGACAGGTTGTTTCATGGCCTCTATTGAATACTTTAAGATGGAAATTTTAATAGCACATTATCAAGAAAAATAAATCAGGACAAATAGATTATTCACATATTTAAATAAACTACAAACTTGGTAGGAGTATGAAAATTTTAATTAAATGTACACTGGGTCTTATTGTAAATTGCCACTAAAGCACATTATTGATAAGCATTGACGGTGAATTAAGCATCTATATGTATGAAAGTGCATTGATAAGTGTATAGTTTCACAAGATTTATTTTATACATGGATTTTTACAAATAAAAAAATAGAAAGAAATATATATTCAGTTAGATAACTGCCTTCCACATGTATTTAGGAATAACACATGGTCAAAAATATATTAAATATATAAAGTTTAATCATAAAAAACGATATGAGATAACAGAAGTAATCTCTCCGACAACAGAGCATTTCATCCTTCTTTTTTAAGTGTAATTACTGTTCTGTTGGAAATGAAAAATAAAACTGAAACTGAAACTGAACTGATTATGAATCATTGATTCAGAAATGTTCAATTGTCAAAACATGAAGTTATTGAAATACGATAATGTATCGCACCTGGGACTACATAATGAGACATAAAAGATGGAAGTTAGTCAGCAGATTAATCCTCCTTATTACAGCTAAAATACGTGATCATTGTACTCACCCAAATAGACTCGAAAATATGATTACCCGATTATCAATAGAAAAATGTTAGGGAAAGGAACATTTTGGTGGTAATGGAATTATTATATCCCTAGGCAGTATTTTAACTGAATTGAAGGGGAAGTCCTCCCTAATATTAAGTTGGTATTCAAATAACAGCAGAAAAATAGGAAAAACCGAATTACTGAAAGTTTGAGAAACTCATAAGAGTTTTAGGTTGTCATCAGTGAAAGAATAATTGGCAACTCTGTGACGCTTCAAGCAAGCTCCTCTCCAATTTGCTCCCTATAGAAAATAATTTGGGTAAAGTTGCTAACAGGGGTGGATACAGAGTGCCAGAAAGAAGGAGAGGAGATACATGTATTTCTATAATGTATATTTTTCTATAAATCAGCAATTATTGATTTTTTTTTCTTTAACATGAGCATTATTTCCGGAATCCTTCTCCAGGATTTCTCGTAGGGGATGGGTAGGGGCAAAAAGAATTTTCCATTTTTTTTCTTTCGCAAATATTTCTGCTTTTCTAAGCCTCCAAAATGAGGGGTCTCGGAATTTGTTTACACCTGCAAAAGATTTTTTACAATATTTCTCACGATTTTTAAATATTTCTCAAACGAGGTGGCTGTTTTTACTTTAAAGGATCTATGTTTCTCAAAGGGGGCTGCCTGGTTTCTTTTGAACCATAAAGAGGCTTCTATGCTTATCGAACAGGGAAGACTATTTACCCTACCTTTTTCTATAAATGGGGAGGAGGCGATTGTTGGCCCCCTGAATCCACCTTGAATGGTTAGTTCGACAGTCATATCTACATCATATTTGCTCACCTCGAATCAATCGTGAAACATAAAAGACCCAAGCCAGAAATATATCCGTCTGTTCAGAGCCAGGAGGGCATTTACTCTGTGCTAAGGTATTGAACTTAACGCCCTTCTGGCTCCAAACAGACGATACTGAATACTTGTTTGCTCCAAGAGATTTCAATACGTGCCCAAAGATTTCTATACCAAAGTTAGATCAACAGTCGTTCTATTGTGTGCAGGCACACTGGATACAAGACCAAAGTATCGGTATGACATGGTACCAAGATCAATTCTTTGCTTGAATCTAGTCTGGGATATTTGAATGATTCAACCGTGGGGGAGAAGAGATTTCCATTATTGGGTCAGATCGGAGTAAACTACCACGTACTTTGAAGCGCAAGTAATCTTATCAAAGAATATTTTCTTTTTCACACGCTCATATTCATTGCATGATGCGCATACAATAAGAATGACATATGTTCATCCGGGAATATTGTATGGAATCAACTGCCAGTAGAATTTGAAATGAATTAAACTCAAGCAGAGTATTTTATTAGACAACCTACCGAAATCGTCATCCATCAACGAATTTCCACTTAAAGACAATTTGTATTTTGACTAAAACGTCTCAATTTTCTTGAGATATTGTAAATTTTATATTAGGTTCATATCATAAATTGCAGTATACACTTATGACAAGCAATTACGTAATATGTTATCGGCCTAATGCATTTAACAATAGTTGTGACCTATTAAATGATAATTTGTTAGTTCTTTTACCACAGCAAATCTATACTATTATTGTGTATCGATATGATATGACATGAACATTGATACTAAATGGTCAAATAATACTACTTTGATTTCGGGCGTTAATACATTGCAGCCAAATTGTTTTGCTTCATAAAACGAACTTATTGTGATAATTATGAACTAAGTGTGGATTACTGTGTATTTTAGTGAATTACATTTGTCGTACACATTGCTTGTTCCCATCCCTCCAAACATGCCAATATAAATAACCTTACTTGCATTCCTGCAATGAAATGAAAGCAATCATCACCTTAAAAATTCAATTTGAATTTGAAAGATTGTGAAATTTGTTATTCGTGACGCTCGGGGCAGTACATGGCAGATTTCAAGCGATCAAATGCAATGGATCGTGCAAAAGATATACATGGTATATTATGACCCATCATTCACAGATCATTCAGACTGTGAAAATGTCGAGACATTTTCACAGTCTGAATGATCTGTGAAGAACTAGATGGTTTCTGATGTTCTTTAAATGTTTGCATGGTGAGGTAGATGTGTCTTTGAAAGATCTTCGAAAGTTCTTGTCAGAACTATAACCACGAAAGAATTACATAACAGTTCTTTGACGAACTAAAACATATCTGCAAGAAAAAATACCCAGGTCCTTATATATGACTAGACGCATTGTGTACCCGCTAAGTTTTCTTCATTCATAGATAGTTTCTACTGTCAACCATTCATGTATGAACGATTTAATGACTTCCATTTAAATTGTGTCTACTCTCAACCATTCAAGTATGAACAATTTAAGGATTTCCATTGAAGAAATGTTTTCCTTATATGGTTTCTTACATTCCGTATGAGAAACCCTATATCCATACATCCACTCTGTCTACATTTCCAAATATATTGCCCAAAGCAAGAACCAATTACCATCTACAAACAGAAATGACTTTCCCATTCAAGCATTATGTTTGTTTTGTTTTGGCGGTAAACAAAAGGTGATGTCACACGAGGACACCTTTCCTGTTCACAATAGGAGCAGGCAGATGTTGTAAAAATTGCTTTCCAGCTCAATGGTCTATACCTTCAATAAACTCCTGTCTGGTTTACTTTGGTCCTACATTGGAGGATGCAGGTTCTGGAACCGCTTCCAGACTCTTCGGTAAATGTAGATGTACGTCGATATAGGCAATTGTTGGAACTTGTATGTATCTTTTAATAACAGGGACTGCCTCGACAGGACCGTATGGTTTTATTTGCAGTTTCCCCCAATTCATTTCTTTTGCTGATTAACTTTGTATAGTTCCGGTATATTTGTAAATATGTTTCCATAAAACTTGGAACTTGAAACTGTAGTCGGAAAATACAATTTGTAGAGTCTTATCGCGTATTGGTGCGACGACCCTGTTTACTTCTAAACTCTGGCATAAATTACCCTAACACATCAAAAGTTCTGTAAACGATATTTCTATTCTCAAAGAGAACTATACGACTTACAAGCTTCGCCTTTTGTTCGTTTCCATTTCCTTATTTACGATTTTACAATGATTTGAAAGTAAAATTAATTTTAATTGATTTTTTGAATCTATCTTATCCCTGAAGCCGCATCTGATAATTGCTTTTAACAAAATGATCGTACATTACTAAATAATGCTCTGTATTAAACCTAATTCAATACCGCTATCATTAACTATAAACTGCAGTAGATTAGGTTTGTAGATCAGAATTTTCAGTAAACGTTAAAGATATGAGCACAAGCCCTGTTCAAATAACCTAATGTCATTTTCCAATGCTAATAAATTAATCACCATTATGAGGTGAATATTGCGTAAAAGAATATAAGCACAAACGCTGTTCAATTAGACTTATTTCCTGTTCCAATGCTAATTAATTAATCACCATTATGAGGTGAATTTTGCTTAAAGGAATGTAAGGGTAGAATTGTGGAATATCAATGGTATTATCAACAATTTTAACTACATTCTCTACTTATTGACTCATTGGTTTCAATGAAATAGCGAGGACAAAGATATAAAGGGATGACAAATAAATGGCAAGGTTATGTTTAGTTAGGCTCCAGTGAATCAAATCACGCAGATGACGTTTCAAAATGATATTTGATGAATACTGTTTGTTATATTATACTGGTATTCTTTGAAATGCTAGAGCGCCGCAATGGCAGCACAGCTAAATCCGGGGTAATAATCTCCAAGTTTAGAAGCGCTTAGTTATTCTAATGAGCGCTACATAAAAACTGAGTATTATTATTATTATTATTATTATTATCCCAGTCATGCCAGTCGTGTAATTATAATACTATTATTTCAACTGGACGGTGAAATTTAAAGGTCGGTCCCCAGACGTAAATAATCACATCTGATTGATAAACGTCTGTAAAAACCCAATACACATACAATTCCATTCCATTTATTTTGGTTTGTTCTTTATTTCGCTACAGTAAATTATCCACCAAAGACATAAAAGTGTTTACTACTTACTATGATAACACACTGTACATTAAGTTAATCATATTGTAAATAGTCATCTTTAACTTGAGGACCCCTTTGAAAATCAACTTAAGTTGAAAGGGCAATCCACCCCACTTGTGGAAATAAATATATAAAAAAAAATTAAAAAAAAGTCCTATTTCATCTTTTATATTTTATAAGTGTTTATACTTGCCTTTTTAATATGATCATAAACAAAAAATTGTAGATTCGTGTATACATTAAAAATTTGGCATTCGAACAATAAAACATGAACTGAAATTTGAATGCGTTTCTTCATCCGTACTATCGTCGGATATGATTGAAGTCAGCCGACTTGAAATCTTTTGTTTGAATAATGGTATTATTTTCATTTTTATGTCAGAGTCTTTATTTTTTATTGCATTAAGGAGACACATGTCATAAAGAAAATAGATACATATTCATTCATGATTGATCATGAAAGATTCATCATTAAACCCATAATATTCTCCATCGGAACAGACATAAACTAATAACGTTTGGTAACAGCAATGCTCATCAAATGTTAAGATAACAAACAAAGCTATTATATGAAATAAACATTATTTTACCTGCTCAATAGTGCTCATAGTTGGAGATTTTTAAAATTTGTTTTAAATGACGTTAAGTACTGCATAGTCTTTTCTAAATAATTCAATATTGTTCGAAATGAGCAAATATATACATGTATATATATCTTTTTAAATAATAATAATAGTTGGTCGTGTATAGCGCTCACGTCTGTCAGATATGACACCCCTGTCGCTCCACAGTTATTACCATATATATATATCGTATATTCATACTATCAATAAATTCCAACATTGTATTCAATACATCTTTTGTGGAGTATGATAGCAAAAGTTTGAGGAATGGGAATAATATTACAACAAATATTTGTTTACATATAATTATAAGTACCATTATTATCATTATTTATTGACCTATCACTTTAGCTTTCATCCAATTATCATTGAGCATGTTGGGGAAAATAGTAAAGGGCGCTTGCCCATGGATGAATGACTTGGTTTTGAATCGAGGAACATCAAGTTAGGAGACCACTGATCTTGAGCCATCGGGCATCATCATCATGGATGTCATCATCATCATCACCACCCTCCATCCTCCTTCTCCTCAGCATCAGTCATCACCTTCAATATAATAATCATTATCATCGTCGCTATCATCACCACCGTCATCATCATCATCATTAATGTCATCATCATCACTATCATCACCACCATCATCATCGTCATTAATGTCATCATCATCATCATTAATGTCATCATCATCATCACTATCATCACCACCATCATCATCATCATCATCATCATTTATGTCACCACCACCACCGTCATCATCATCATCATCATTTATGTCACCACCACCACCGTCATCATCATCATCATCATTAATGTCATCTTCACCATCATCATCATCATTAATGTCATCATTATCATCATCATTAATGTCATCACCATCATCATACGTAATGTCATCATCAAAACTGATACTAAACAGAGCGTAAAATATATATATTAACCTTGGGTCTGCTGTCGACACTGGTTGTTCTTGGAGTAGGGTTGGGACCGGCCTCCACATCGAACGCTGTCTCTCTCTTAATTGGTTGCCCATCAGCTACCTGTAAGGCAAGATTAATACTGGACATAGAGCCTCCCTTATAACCATTGGTAGGCTGAGCATATCTGGTCTCCGCATCACTACCGGGCGGCGTCCCCCGTGGTGTGCTTCTCGTCTTCGTCAGACGTTTGTTTTTCGGTTTGTCATCATCATCGTGGTAGTATGCCTGGTTATCTCCGCCCTTGACCGCCGTCGGCTTCAGAACTGGGTTAGCATAGGTAGCCTGAGCGCTAGGGTAAGGCTTAGGGTTGGTCAGTTCTAAGACCGAAGCGGGTGTTCTGGAACGACTAGGGGGATTATTGGGGGTGGAGTAGTTCCTAGGACCAGCAACAGGTGTATGTGATCGACTAGGAGCGTTGTCCGTATCTGAAGCAGGGTACGGCTGTGGGTTACGAATCGAGTCTAGGTATCGCTGCGACATGTTGTCTGTCTGGCTATCAGCTGTAGATCAAAACAAACGAGGAAACAATGATCGCGGCGCTTCAATCATGAGCAGTAACAGCATCAGTTGCAAATCCTAGCAATGATAAATCCCATTTATTCCACTAAAGATATGGCGGTTATAAAAAGACGAAGCTATTTCAAACCGCTTCCTCCTCCGACTGTACACCCGAATCAAATAATAACAGTGCGACTGAACAATCTCACTATACCTTTCCTACAAACAGGAGGCGGTGGTCTGAGGGTTTTTTGAATTAACGGTTTCGTAATTCTAAAGGAATGCTATCCATTATGCGGTCGGTTGTGCATATGAGTCCGTCGCACCATACAATGGTGTTTAGCATTTCAAAACGTGTACCCAACCGTAGCAAAACAAGCTTACCTCGACCGTTCTGGAGATCGTATATCAAACCACGAATGGTACAGTATTATTGTCAAGCCATAAACGTATTGTCAGAATCGAACTGCATTGTGGGCCGAGTATTATGATTTCATTCTGAATCTCTCTCTGCTCGCTATTCATGTTTTCACGCGCAGGGTGCATGTTTCTTTTGAATGAAAAATAGAAAAAGTACGTTCCAGGGGACTTTTTGTGCAAGCTCAATCGAATGAGCATCTCCAATCGGGTCCAAATACATGTTTGAAAATGTAATAACAATCTTTCCTAAACTGACAGGGTAATGTTTGACTCTCGACTCAATCTCTTTCTCCCTCATTCTAACGATCTAACCTCCTTTTTCTAGAGCTTTTGCAATCCTTCATTTTCCCTTTTTTTTTTTTTTTGTATCTTTCTTTCGTTTTGCCTTTTACTATTTCCCTCTATTTTTTCTCAATTTTTAAAATTTATTTATAATTTCTTAGCTACATCTATTTATTGATTTCTAAATATACTTTGTTCATGTTATATTGTAAAACAGCATCTGAGGAACTAACACTTCAACGGGCTCTGCTTCTAGATAGTTCATCTTTTCTCGTGCTTTTTCTATAATATTTGTCGTTTCATTGCATATTTTTGTAATATAATTATTCATTGTATTATGTTTTGCATGAGAACTACAAAATATCATTTAAATCAATGTCATCGTTTTCATGGTATACTATTGACTTTGATAGATAAATACATTATATTTTATTACGGGCAAAGAGCATAATGAATAAATAATATTCATTCGCAACACAATAGTCATCAAGGTTCTGTTATCTTATCTAACAGAGCATAGCTTGTTTGATTTCAAGAACATTCACAACTTCCATTCTTTGCTTTCAGGTAAAGCTGGAAATGTATGAAACCATATAAGAGTGGAAGGACCATTAAGTAAGTCAGTGTTCAGCGTTTGATACTTAGCCTTATAAATTTATTTCAATTTGATAGTTTGGAAGTAGTTCTGTATCTTCTTTATTTTATTTGCAAAAAGCACATCTTGATACTCTGGTATAATACGCTGTAAAGCATTGTTATGGCAATACTAGTATTATACAGTAGACTTACGGTTGCACCATGTGAGAGAGGGGGAGGATTGCATGGGGAGTCCTTAAAAGGACTGTTGGTAGTCTTTATTGAGCTTACAGTTCTAAAGAGAACTTTATAGTGCCGGTTGGAGAGGATTGGTAGTAGGAGGGGATCTAACTGGCACTATAGTAATAATAATATAGTAGTAATAATATATCTGTAAAGCGCTTAGGTACATCGTTGGATTGGTGTATTGAGCGCTATATAAAAAACCGGATTATTATTATTATTATTATAGTTCTCTCTATACTATAAGCTCATAGACAGATTAACAACAGTCCTTTTCAGAACTACACACAAAACACTCTATAAAGAAATATTACAGACAGTCCTTTTCAGGACTCCCCAATATCCACCCTCTCTCAAATGGTGCAGCTGTAAGCCTACTGTATTATGTACACCACCATGCAAGCCGATACTCAGCAGCATCTAATACTAGTTTTGAATAAGGAAATTCGTGATCATGGACAATTGTCAAAGAAATTAACATGATTGGGAAGGTTATTTCTTGTCATGGTCGAGGGTCGGAACATACTCGAAGTAGAGCAACCGGAAACCAAAAAAGGGCATGGTGAATATTCCACCACCCCCTCCATAAGTCTTGGAGGAAAGCTGTATTTTACAGAATTCAGTCTAAAGGATCACATGAAATTAAAACTAAATCACATTTATACCAAAATGAAGATTCTGTGGAAGGTGAATCTGAGAACCAATCCCCCAACAAAAAAAGGAATGCTATTAAAGATACTCTGTCCCTATTCCAGCCAACATCGAAGTCTGTAGAACTTTGCAGGAATTACGAATATGTCATGTTTGTCCTTTCTGTGAAATTTTAACGTTAGCAGTGTCCTAGTATTCAAATTATGCAAGGAAACACTTTTACTTGCTAGACTTCACTGTCAGACACTATTGAATGACTGACTGCCTTCTTTTCTTCTTTGGTAATAACATACATAACATGAGTTGTAAAGAGTACATGAGCACTTGTCTACATCAATTACCCACTTCTTATAATGGCCAAAATTAAACTGATTGAATCTTTGCGCAGCATACAACGTACGACCATTCGGTACAATGGTCTGAAAATCAGACTATTACTTACTGGCTCTATAGCTCCTAAGTCGATTCGACAACTAATAGTCGTTATTTTCCCACTTAAAGACATTTTCAAGCCCCCCCCCCCCCTTTTTTTTTTTTTAGGGAAGTTCTAAATTAGTATTACCTTTCAAATGCCGTTGGAATTTAACCTTTTCATTTTTGGGGCCTGCAAATGGGACATAGTACCTTTAAAGACCCTAACCGAAATTGAATCTGTTGACTTTGGAAGGTTCGAGACAAGATAGGCAGGAATACTTTGCAAAGTTGAATATACATTTTCAACCCGGAATCTGAAGGGTGAAGAACAATAGATGCACGCGAGGTGGCGCCCCTACCAATACCTTTTCTGCTACATAAACATAATTTATCATACCGTCTCTCTAACTCCCTCCTTCTACCTTCTCTCTCTCTCTCTCTCTCTCTCTCTCTCTCTCTCTCTCTTTCTCTCTCCCTCCCCTCTCCCGCACTCTCTCTCTCTCTTTCTCTCTCCCTCCCTCCTTCCCCTCCTCTCTTTCTTTCTATCCCCCTCTCTCTCATTTTCTCTCCCCTCTCCCCACTGTCTTTCTCTCTCTCCTCCCTCAGTTTCTCCCCTCTCGCTCCTTTCACTTTATTTCCCTTTTTTCTCTCTCTCGTTCTCTCTACACCTCGGTATTTTACCTCCTTCATTCCTTTTCTCCATCCATCCATTCTCAGTTTCAAATAAATAATTGATGATTATTACCCCCCCCCCGCCCTAGCCTGTAAGCACAGACTCTTATTTGACAATTTTCCTAAAGCTGTTAAGGGTGTGTGCTTGCGAACTAACCTCCCCCCCCCCCTTCCCCACCCCCCCCCCCCCCCCCTCCCGCCATAAATACACAGGTACAATCAAATAACAGGAGAATTGAAATCATTTTCTGTTGTGTTTCTACGTTTATTTACGTATCAAATTACAAAAGTCCCTGCACAATGACATCTACATAATGAATATAATACATGAATTGTCTAATTTGGGTGAACCTAGCTTCTGAAGCATGTTTAGCAGCACAGATAGGTCTACATTTGCCAGTATAAACGGATCGGAGAAATCTAGAGTGGGTAGGAATCCGTAGGATGCACTTGTTATTTCTTATAAGCCCTTACGATGACCATTATACGATGGGGATATTCACATTGAAGCGGGGATGGGGCACACATTGTGCGCACTTACGAACGCCTTCAGCGGTCTACTACAAACATTTAGAGTGCTTCAGAATGTTATTAAAAGAACGATTGCTGAGTTATGCTCTAAAATTTAAGGTAAGCAACTGGACGTGCATATATAGGTCATATACAAAAGGACTTGGTAGTGAGGTTTGCTACCTTATCGGAGTGCACTAGCGCATCGACTTGGTTTCGAACCTGGGACATCCCGGTTACGAGACACGACTGCCCTACCACAGAGCCGCACGTAAATCCGCATCATTGCGATGGCTCATAGTATAGGCATTTGTCATAAGATTGCTTTCTTCTGAAGTTCTCTAACTCAAAGGGACTCTAAAACATGGTCTCGGTCAACAATCCAAAAACTAATATATACATTCTATCTACGGTATATCGTTTACCATCTATGATGAATGTCCTCTTCTAACAGCATATATACAGACTCAAATATTAACACTAAATGCTACTGCACTCTCCAACAAGCAAACTATATTAAATAGAGTTCTTGACCGTAATGGTCTTTCAATTAGTCCTGAATTTCTTCGTCTAAACGCGAACACTATTACAAAGGCTGGTGAGTTTTACATTTGACGTTGGTTGTTGCTCTTACATGGTCAATTTCAAAGAGTTTTCGATTCCGTGAGAACTTCGATGTATTCGTCCAAATCTAATTGCCACTCAATACCATGATCTTACTTTACTCTTGGTCCATACTTCTCGGAAAGAATTCTAGAGATCGATTGAAGTCTCGGAGGTCTGTGGTCGTTTTCGCTTTGATATCCCCAGCCGGACTTTCGTAATTTGTCATTAAAGAGCTCTCGACAGGCCCTCGATCCATCCTGTATTGATTCCTTCAAATCGTAGGGCTCCTGGATTTTTTCGCTGAATTTTTCTTTCAAATAATTCTATGAATCAAGACAGGTCTAAGGATCTTCGATTTAATCTGTTTTGTTGCTGTTACGACGGACCGATTCCACGGGACTTCTCCGTCTTGAAATTTCTTTCACAATGTCGTTGAGAAATGCTCAAAGAGTTCTCGATCGTGACAGGTCTTCGATCCATCCTGCATTGATTCCTCCAAACCCGAATGCACCAGGACCTGTGAATCTCCTGTAGGTAAGCACCTCCCTATCCACAGGTTTATCTTCAGCAGATGCCGTCAGTTCGCGCATATCCAAACCGCTCTCGTAGATCACATTATCCACCCACCCGCTCTCGCTCTGCCGCCTGGATGTCTCTTCGGACTTTGTGATGACGTTCAACGTCGTCGCTCGGTCGATTAGATGCTGCAGGGAATACGCGGTGACGAACGAATCGCCGGTCGTACCCGTACCTGAGCGGTGAAACCTTGAGCGACGCTCTTCGGCTTCGGTAATCTCGGCGTAGATGCTGGAGCGGTTGCTGTCGTGAGCTGAGAGGTAGGATAAGTGTTTCCAGCGAGGTAAAGTGGAGCCGTTGTCATTGATGAACAAGTCTTTCTGATGAGTGATCTCCATGGTGCCTCGCTCTGATTTAGTCGATGAGATCTCCTCGTAGGGGTGAGCGGTGGAACTCAGAATCCTGGAACAGAAAGAAAATTAGTCATAAAGTGTTATTTTTTCACAATGTTAACAACATATCATAATGGTAATCGGTACTCACAGCTTATCTAACCATCACATTGGAATATTATGAGAATAGTAACGGAATAAATAAAAATATAATCATAGTAGTGGTCTATTTTGTCGATTGGTATATTAGCATTACTTAAAATAGGAGAAGAAATAATAATATTGATGGTGCAGCAGCATTAGTGTAGTTTAAGTATTCACGACTCCTCGTAACTTGTTCGATCATCCCGATGATAATATAAATATCTCAACAATTAGCAGAGTCAATACTCAGACGGCTGATAGAAATGGGAAAACGCCCTCTTGTGAACCCTGGAGAAAATGATCTGGAAACGGATCATGGACAAACGCCGAAAACAGGAAAAAGAACTAGACTCAATCCGAGGACTCAATATTTAATTCAAGTTGACGACGAGAATATTCATTCGGTAGATCCAGCAACCCCCCCCCCTCCACCCTCTGAAAACTCCCATGACAACATTTATATGGCTAACCCATGCGAGGATTTCTGGGGTTAATCTTTATTAATCTCTGCCCATTTCCGACTCTCAAAATCACGTTCACGAGAACAATTGGGAAATGTACCCCCCTCTTTCTGACAATACGGGATCCACCCCTAGACGATTTAATATTGTAAGATGTCGATGTTCATTTAGATGGCCCACCTTATCTTCCTAACGAGGCACACGACAACGACCACAAAGAGGATTAGGATGACGACCACGGCACTGCTGGCGACCACGGCAATTAGAAAGGTCAGAGAGGGTCGATTACCTGAAGAAAAAAAATCAAGCAAACATTATTGATTATGTGGTTATTTTTATTCTTTTCGACAGAATTTGTGCCTGGGATGGAAAATGTGAACTTGTCTACTTTATGCATAGGGTCTCTCCTTAAAGCTTATCTGTACTACTTTATAGGAGGATTTAGACCACGCTGCAAGGTAACTGGACAGGTGGTTATCTCATCAACTGAGCTCTCGATTTAAATAAGAAAAAAGGATCATCGGGGACCAATGGTCACCGATTAGGCATTGTTTTCTATATAGAGGGAGCAAGTAGCTACAAGTAGGACAGTGTGTCTTGAAAGGCATCGTTTAGCAATGATAAATCGGAGATGCATGGCCCTACGAGTTATCAGTGTCTGTAATATTTTGTAATATTGAAGCCCTACAAAAATTGCGCTTCAAAATGATCATGAAGTGCCTCGAAAAAGTAAAAATCTTTGAGTGACCGGTCTTACCATTCTCATTTTCCCCAATAGACTGTAGTGTTCTAAAATCCGTTAGGAAAACGAAAAATGAAATTTCGATTTCCAATCATAAATATCGTGATAGTCAGACTGGCGTTCGGTTCGTAAAAGTCATGGGATTCCTGACTGACCTCAAGGTATAAAATATATCATTGCAGCATGAGCTAAATCCACGATTTTGTTTCAGAATCTGAGGCAATGTTACCGAGTCACTGTAATATCAAGGGACGCGATAAAATGATAGCTTCTCTATATTCTCTCATTAAAAACCACTTCATGAATTGATTAGTAATGGTATAACAATTAACCATTAAAAAATCACTCGACACAAACCACATCCAAAGTATTAAAAGCAATTCCCAATTATCAAACAACATGCCACGTAATATGAGAACAATTTCTTTCTTTACTTCATTATCAGTATCGCGTTCGTTAAAAATCTGTTACAAGTTCCTGGTTTACGAAATAAAAAGGTTTGAGTAGTTTTCTTTTTACTTACTGACTGTATCTAGATTACTTCCTTGTGATATGTTACCCGCTTGTTCTACAGGCAATGTCGATGTTTCTTCCACTATGCCGCCATGCTCACTTCTACCTGTAAAAGAGCAACAACAACAAAAAGAATAATAAATATATAAAATATGTAATATGTTTTATGATACTTAAAAGAGACTCCGTCGTTATTAAGCTGTGATTACTAGCAGCACTTAATCATCGAGTCTTAATATTCCTGTCTTCATGGTTAATTACAAGATGTCACACACACTTATAAAATTCTGTTCCGTGAATGGTCATCCCTTTTCAACTTTCATTCGTCATTTCATTTATTATTTTAAAATAAGATACAAATGGTCCTGAATAGAGTATTGAATTAACCTTCTGTATTAATATCAGACATTGTCATACATAACATGACATAAGATATAAACCATTGACGAACTTGCAGACAAAATAGTTTAAAAGTATACGGTCGGAGGATCCGCTGTTTGGGATTATACATGTAGATTTGCTTTGAATAGAGATACATGAGATATGACATAATCGTCCCGACAATGTTGGACTAATAAAGAATGTAACTAAGGATTTTTTTTATGGAGAAATCCTATCTCTAGCAAGGAATCAAGTCTGGCAAATGTTTCATGTTAACAATACTTTGCTTTTCTCTTGAAAAAAACACGATAATAATTACCACTCTTCATTAGCACGTATTTTGGAGAGCCAATTAATTATCTACTCAAGTGTTAATACGCACTTCCATGTATAACAACATTAAATTACTTTGCGGTTATTCATGGATTACATATCACACCTGTTTCTTTGTGTGCCAATTTAAGTTAACAGGACTGCCAATAAAGTTCTATTACTTTGTTTATTTGTTATTTGTTTAAAGGAACGTTGAAAGGATTTCATTTGAAATCATCAACATAATACTTTTTTGCTGATATTGATTAAGTTGTTATTCTTTTCCCTTGTTTCTAATTACTATTACTAATCTAAGTAGCATTTATACATTAACTATTAGTTATACATTAGCATATGGTTGTACGCATCAATTAATATTCTATGTATTTATGACAATTCGAATCCTCACTCTAAACCGCATTAACCCACAAGCACGGAAGAAATCATAATCAGTCCCACGTGCTGTGATCCATGTAAGCTAGGCCTCTATGTTTGTATCTATTTGTGGAGAACATTTAATGGATCATATTGATTAGAGAAAGAGCGAATTATAATCTTGGATCATGATGTGGTCTCTCACTAACTAACCAATTTCAAATGACGTCATCAGTGACGCAGGTGCCGTGGGGATCGCACGGATTTGACCCATATTATTCGATAAAAAGTGGGTCATGTCGAAACTCAAACACTGACTTGTCACCTGACTTTCACCAACAGTACAATCCATCAATATTTGGGTATAAATAATCAGTTTAGTTATGCCAAGTTTGATGAAAAATATAATTTGGGATACACGAACAACCACCGGCGAATCCAGCATGCTGTGTAGAACCCTGGTATACCCCGTTTAAAGCCTCCCCCTGGCAGAAAAAAGTAAAGTAAATTTTTGCTTTATGTATGCCCTCCGCCCCTGTGGTCATCCATTTCGGAATACGTCACTGGATGTATATGACTGGTGGGGAATTTAGGTCAAGTTCATTATTCTTAGCAGCTATTATGATCTTTTGGTCTTCCCCTAAACTTAATCTGTTCATGATTTTGTGTTAAAATATCACGTTCATTGAGTCCGTGATGATTTCGAAAGTGACGTGTACATTTATTTTAATAAATATATATTTATTTAAATATATATAGTCACCCATTCCGACCATTTTAGTGGTGTTCGAAAGTTTCGATTGTCGGTTTAATTGGATAGGAAATACACCAATTAGATTAAAGTATGGTTTCTTTCACTATCACGTGACGTAGTCATGACCTCGCCGCATTGGGTCACAGAGACGAGGCCAGAAGACAGTGCGGTTACACGCTAACATGCCAAGTACTGTCATATCAAGGGTACTACTAACGATGTGAGGTTTCTTTAATTAAACATCGATAACATGTTTCTATGTTTTTTTAAAGGGGAAGTCCACCCTGATATTAAGTAGGTTTGGATAGAAGCAGAAAAATGAGAGAAACGGGTGAGTGAAAGTTTGAGCAAAAACCGATTAAAAATAAGAAAGTTGTGAACTTTCGAAGGTGTGATCAATCAAATACATATTGGCAACTGTTAAGTATCTTGCGACTTCTCCCATTTGCCCTGTACTAAAAAAAAAAACCCATAAAAATCATAGATTTTCTTACAGAATCTTCGATCAAACATTCATCCTAAATATGATTATTACAAATATGTTTTTATACTACCCCTGTATGAAACAAATCTATTCCGTCACCAATACCTAAGAAAATAAAAATTTATTGAATTTTCCGTACGGAGCAAATTGAAGAAGAGCTCACAAAATACGTCACGGTGTTGCCAATTCATAACTTTGCTGTTTTTAATTCAATATTGCTCAAACTTTTACTTATTTGTTTCTCTCATGTTTTTGCTTTTATAAAAACCAACCTAATATCAAGGTGAACTTCCCCCTTTACGAATGCATGAGAAAAACCAAAAAGCCAATGAGATTACAATATTGCCTCTATCGCTGTCACGCGACCTACATGACCGCACGGGATAGAGGAAGAATTTTGTGGCATTTTAACCATAGTGTGGGTTCATTTGTATTTTCATGACGTAATGTAGTTGAATTTAACCATGACTGCATTAGTATTCAGATTAATTTTTCAGCTACTTAGAATTTGGAGCTTGTTTATTGCTCGAATCAATTAGTTCCACGAGGACACCATATACGTCATAATTGCTAGACAATATTTTATTTTTATATACAAGTTCTTGAGATAAATAAGAAAACAAAATGACTGTTTCCCTCTCTTTCCTTCTATCTCTTTCTCTCTCTCTCTCTCTCTCTCTCTCTCTCCTCACTATCTCTATCTCTCCATCTCTCTCTCTTCTTTTTCTTCTCCTTCTTCTTCTTTTTCTTCTTTTTTTCTTCTTCTTCTTCTTTTTCTTCTTCTTCTTCTTCTTCTTCTTCTTCTTCTTCTTCTTCTTCTTCTTCTTGTACATTCTAAGATTTCTCATTTAGTACGGAGATAATGATCTCTATGCTGTTTTTATTCTGCGTCCTGAAAGTTCTATAATACATTTACTTCGTTTGATTTTTAAAAGATAAATGTTTGAAGTCATAGCTCAGCCAAGTTCATTTGATGAGCCCCTCCCACTCTCGCACATGGCGGTAGAGATTGCAAGGTAAACTCACCTGTAAATTTCCGAGAGCTATAAACGGTGAAAGTCAGGTTGCTAAGGGCAACACCACTGTTTGGAGTTTCTCCCACGGTTGCTTCAAATATGAGCTGATGAAACGATTTTAAAGAAAGAAAAAAAATAAAATGGCATGACCAAGAATCATATTAACACATTTACATAAACATAATCATACAGAGAGGGGAGCGAAATTAGAAAGATAAAGAGAGAGAGAGGGAGAGAGAGAGAGAGGTGGGGGGGGGGGGCAGGGTAAAAAATCCAACATGTTCAAAGGCGCAGATAGAGTCAAAAATAATTTACCCCCTCCCCAGCCCAGAAAATACTATTTTTTCTACCCTGGCAACAGGTAGATTTAATATTTAATTGTTTTTTGAGTAAAATATCTGGTGTTCTACTTTTTAAATATCATCTCATTTCTTAACAGGTGACTCGGATATTTTGTTTTTCGGATTTTGATATTTAATATCGACAAAACTGATTATTGTCATCACTTTTTTAGCGACCGGAAAGGGGAGGCTATGTTTTATTATTTTCTAAAGCAGCTAGAGCCAAACACACACACACACACACACACAAAATGGCGTCAGGATCAATGATATTACAGTATTGTTTAAATCGAATTACCTTTTCAATGTAGGGAAAGTTAATTCTTTTAAAGTGCTTCATATTACCATGAATTATCTGGTGAACCGAACAAAATGTTTCATTTTCTTGAAAATGGAAAATGGAAAATTCCGTTTAAAAGAAACACCTGCTAGAGATGTCCGTCTTCGTATGCACTAAAATAGAAGTGACCAATAATGAGTCAGGTAGGCCGTTTGGTTGCTACCTGTTTCTGACCAATCAGGTAAACTTGTTATCATTCTCGGAACGTCCATTTGTCCACTAACCGGCCATTGGAGTCGTCGTCATGGGGGAGAATGGTGGGGGATGTGGGGGCGGGGGTGGAGAGGGGGAAGGGGGATAGGAGAGGGAAGGGATGGTTGAATCATCGCAACATAACCATTCTCATATGAGCATTGTTTGTGTCCACTAACTGGCCACTAAAGCCGACGTCATCGCGGAGGGGGGGGGGGGGGGGGGGTAGGGGACAGGATGGGATGGGGGAGGGGGAAGGATAGTAAGAAGATAAGACCTATATCTTACCTGGAACGGTTCCGAGACAGATTCGTTAAAATTCGCCTTTCTCCATCCTCTTCCGTCACTTCCCTTCCTCATCAGTATCCTCTTGTTATTGGTAGAGCCGTGGTTCATGATAAACACCTGTAACTCTCCTCCATCTCGACGATAGACGTTGTACCAGTAGGAGACGGTCACCGTGGAATCACCGGTGGCGGGGAAGATACCCGACCGGAAGCGAGCAATGGAACCGGGTGAAGGGCGGGTACCATCCTTACACGCACAGACGAACGTATCTAGTGAAGAAAGTAAAGAATTCGTTTTATATATAAAGTGGCGGATTATCTGACCCGTGAGGATGCACGAGTCACAAACCAATATAATATTTGCGCATGTGTGTGCTCTTTTAATGATTTCGGTGCATTCAAGGCATGCCAGATATAGATTGACCGGGCAGTCACGGGCACATCCTATCTGTCCTCTGGATACTGATAGATATAACTAAAGTTTGTCACTGTTTTCATTACTGGTTCGGGATTTAACTTTAAATCAAATCAATCAGTGGTCCGTGAGAATGCATTTTTATTTAGAGCTCTCTCTCTCGACCCAGGTGTAATGAATTATTAACACCCCCTTTTTTCTCCATATAGGCATCCCTCTTCGTATGTGTTAAGGAATCAAGTAACTGTTTGGTTGGAAATGCTTAAAGGTATTACAAAGTATTGGTATAGGGTCATGAATTTGGTTCAAATTAACATATTGGAAGCATATGCGTTCCTACAATATTCATTGATCGTTGTCGCGGTTGAAATTGAGTCTAAAGTTATGAAATTATAAATAATAAACTCTTTATGTTGTATAGCTCCCTCTCAAGGTCAAGATATTAATTTAGCTATGAAAACAATGTTTCTTGACTAAAATCGACCGATTAGCTATTTCCGTTTGGAAATTATATATCACAACTACATATTCTGAGATTTTCATAGTCGCAGCTACCATTGTACGGCCATAGGCGCTATTTGAAATTCATCAAAATTTACCGGGAGCACCGGTAAATTTTTATATTTAATTTTTCTCGAAAACAGAAGTGTTTTAGGGGCTAATTTTTTTAGTGCTTATAATTCATCCCCAGGGGCATCCAAATATATCAAAATTGTAAAGATTCACTATCCACCCAATTTTCAAAATTTCCCAAAACTTTGTATTACCTTTAATGTCTAAAAGATAACCAATCACACTGACATTATACGTGACCATGCAATCCGTGTTCGAGTATTTTCATGGCGCGAATAACAAATAACAAGCAAACTTTTGCTCGATCAAGTTGTTAATCATCTTGCATGTAACAAATAAGATTGGGTTGTTTATCATATTACATGTATCGAAGGCTTTGACCTTTAAGAAAAGATATGCCTTAATTGAGCGATATCCTGAGGTTGAGAACCCCTCCCGCCATTCTCACCACCTTCCTCTATCTTGTTATTCAGGAAGGGCGTAGATAGGGGGTCATCCGCCCCCACCCCCTTCACTCGGGACAACCACAGAGCGGGTTGTTTCACAAAGTCGAAGTTACCTCTAAGTTGGACATTATGGGGAGCCATCTGGAGCCTTAATATAAAATATATTCAGAAGCGAAAATTCAAGTATTTTAGACTTTTTATAAATTCCACATCAAGAACATGAAATCTCCTTGATAATATTTCAATATGAATGATTTGAATTAACATTTTATGCCTTTTAAAATAACTTTTACAAAATATTTCATAGATGCTAACGGCTTTCCATGATTTTTAAGTCCAACTTAGAGATAAGTTGTAATTTAGGATATTTGTGAAACACCCCCCTGTTGGCGTATCCAGAAAAATATAATCAGGGGTCCCTTTTTTGGAGAGGGAAGCGGGATGTACTACTTGGGTAGTTTTTTGTTGTTGTTTAGGGCCGGAGTAGTGAGGAGATCCCATCCGCCCCTATCCTTCACTACAGACACCCCCCCCCCCCCCAAAAAAAAAAAGCGCTGCGGTGTTGGGGGCGTATCCAAAACTATATATATAAGGGGTTGCGGAGGACCTTCCTTTTCAGAGAAGAAGGGGCCCGCGAAATGTCTCTGTTTAGTTCCACATGAGAGACATAATACAAGCAGTGACAAAATAGAATTGCATTTTCCCCTAGCCTTCGAAAGGGTGTGGCGTTTTTTTTTAGACCGGGTCCATCCAGTAAAGGGCATGCCACAGCTTAAAATGACACGCTATAAACCTTGTACATGTAGACCCCCTATTGAAATATTCCAACATCCTAGAAAGAGAGTCTAGGCCTATAGCCAAATACTTCTTACTAAGCTAGTTCCACACATTTGTACAAGGGGTTCTAGCTTAAAACATATCTGCACTAGTTTGGCCAGGAAGGATTAGACCTTCCTACATGGTTACTGACAGGTGGTTATCTCATCAAATCAGTTTTCAATTAACATAAGAAAAAGGGGACCATGGGGGACCAACGGTCACCGATAAGGCATTCTGTGCTATATAGAGGGCGCAAGTAGCTATAAGTAGTGCAGTAGGGCTTTAAATAATTGTTAATCCTACTAAACAGTAAACAAACAAACAAACAAAACAAAAAAATCACTCGATTTCTAATACCCTATTTCCCCGCCCTGTGGTGACGCCCCTATTTCTATCAAAATTGTCCGGTTCACTCACCTGATGGGGCAGTGTCTTGATTTCTCGTGTTTGAATATGACCTTTGACCTGTCCAGTTGAAGTCATCGTCTGTGTCCTGTGTGTAGTCGCATATTCCAGTCGCTGAACCAAAATCACAGTCATAGCGAGCTGAAAAAAAGAAAATAAACGACAAAAAAAGTTATGACCATTAAAAATCATGTTCACATGTAGCTAATATGGATTTTGGAAAAGGTATCGAAATTACAATGATATGGGTCTGAGAAGAAATGAATAATGAGAAGCAAAGAAAAGAATACTGAAAAATAAAACAAATTGAAGTTGAGGTCTCGTTGGCCTTTTATTTGAGTTAATATCTGATTCTAAGTTTGTTTCTTAGTTATTGAACTATTTGACAGACACTTATTTATATGTTGCCCTGGATGGTTTGCCCCTCCCCCCCCCCCCCCCCATCAATACAAAGCAGCACCTGTATACACTTGTTCAAATTGTCTTAAATTATGTTAGAGTTTAAAAATGTATAATCCTTGAAAATAAAAGTGCCCCCCCCCCCCTTCGGTAGCGAAACGAGCGGCTGATATGTTTTTCCAACATTCTCTTTATCCAAAGGGAGGGCGGAATGGAGCGTAGCTAGGCCTCTTCGAAGCCCTTTCATTCATAATGATCTATCATCTTCTGTTAGAAACGAATTAAATGAAATGGGCGAGCAATAACTTGCCTCAAAATTTGGAATTATGATATAAACTGCACATTGTTAACATGTGAGAATGTCAATGAGATTTATCTTGATAAGCATTATACTATTTTATTAGTTTCTGTTACCAAAATAAATCATGTCATACTTATATTGTACAATTTCTATTCGTTGTATCGATGTGACATGAGTGTTGCCTGAATGTCGGAAATAAATCACTAAAATCAAATCAAATTCAAACAAAGTATTTTTTATTTCAAGCAATAAAAACTGGCTTTATCAATGCTCACTGCGTACGATGAATTCTCGATTACACCTTTCAGCATTTTGGGCATTTAGTCAAATCTTAACCATCTATTTTCTGAATCGTCACTGGAGAAAAACAACCATGTTGTTGCTCTGTTACCATGCCAACCTCAGTGCCACGCATGGTGAATCAGAGAAAGCTAGAAAAGTACAGGGATTATTTACTTGACTTGGCTTCATTTGTCATGGTTCATTTTTATTTTTGATGTATATCAATAACATGTACTTTACCTGAGCCCATGGGCATATTGTTTAAAAAATTGAGTAAAAACTGTGTCCACCATTCTTATACTCTACCTGGATAATGATTTCCCCATTTAAAATCATGAGCCAAAATATACCAAGTGAAATACGGGCATACTGTCGTCAGGTAGGGGAGGGGGTCGTCTTCGATAGCCCGAATATCAGCATTTCTGTTTCACTTCACTTTCTTGAAAATGTTATTTTTCATCAAAATATACTATAGTTGAGATATAAAATTGTAAAATAACCCAATTGCCTGAGATGAGATACTGGGTGCCCAGATTTGAGACGGCGGATGCCCGTATATTCTCAGGGTGCAGCCCACAGGCCCCCTCGACTGGTACGCATATGCCTGAGCCTCATCTTATAAAAAGTTGCGATTAATCAAGTTCTACAATCAATCGCAAACTATAATTTTATGGACAGAGTTGCGATTGATATTATTCTCACGATAAGTTTAGACTTGTTCGGATGAATTGCAACTCTTTGCTTTGTTCTTGAGATCCTATGTATTTATATATTCTTGTAGATACGTGTCAAGCATTTACAAACAAGGAAGATAAAACAACACAATGAAAATGAATATTAAATATCTCAAATACATGCTCAAGGACGACCAAGCTCTAATTCCATTAAAACATAATTTCACTTTTTGGTATATGCATTCATTATTCATTATTAATACATAGTGATATGTCAGTAGTCCTACAGATTATACTGCATGAAGCTGTTGAACAGGTTCGATTTGAACATGAGATGTGTATAGAGTTAACGGGTTATGATGGGGCTTGTTTCGAGGAAAGAAGGAGCCTTAAAGTGACTCATTAACATTGCCTCAGATTTTAAAACAAAATTACTCGGTTTGTCTCTGTCTGCCCCCTCCCTCTCTCTCTCTCTCTCTCTGTTAACCCAATTACTCTCCCTCTCCTTCTTCTTCTTCTTCCTCTAAAAGAATGGCCTAAATTTTTTCTTTTAAAAACTCCATGCTCAACAACTTCTCTCTCTCTCTCCCTCTCTTTCTCTCTCTCTCTCTCTCTCTCTCTCTCTCTCTCTCTCTCTCTCTTTATCACCCCTCTCCTCCTCCTTCTCCTCATTCTTCTTTTTCATATCTTCTTCTCCTTCTTTTTTATCTCTCTCTCTCTCTCTCTTCCTCTCTCTCTTCCCCCCTCTCTCCCTCTCACTCTCTCTGAACTTTTTTCTATCCCCTACCCCCTCTTTCTTCCTCACCCAATGTCTGTCTATCTTGTATCTCACCTTCCATTTTTGTCTGTTATCCTCTCTCTGTTTCTCTTTTATTTCACTACTTATTAATCTTTTCCCGTTCTAATTTTATATCATTAAATCCTTTAAAGCCATGCCACGTTTTTATCATCTTTGCTCTGCACGAGAGAAAGAGCAACGTCGATCTGGCGCTGCTCAGTGGCTGCCGGGCTCATGATCAATTGGGCGAAAAGAATTTCCATTTTCGGTTTAACTTAATAAAATTTGGAGTGGACTTTACAAGATTCATTATTATTATTATTATTATTATTATTATTATTATTATCGCTTTACATTCTTTTATTTTCGGACCACCTTTCTTTCCTGTCTGCTGTCCACCACCACTCATACCCTTGTCGCTTCTCACACTTGCGCTTTCCCACCCCCTCCACTCCTCCCCCCGGTCACAAGGGTTTAATCATGGTGGAAATATGGATTAATTTCCACCACCTGTAATCAAGCAGCCGTGAGGTAATGTCGCGTTTGTCAACCTGTATTTGACAAGCTCTAACCCTTCCTTTCAACTCATATCACACGTCCAGTCATCGGCTTATTAAATCAGTGACAGTAAGGGCGGATCCAGGTTATTAAAAAAAAGGGGGATAGGAGACTATTCCGAACCAAAAACATCGAGTACGCGCCATTCTTTGTTTGGTATACTCAACAGTTTAAAAGAACGAGTTGCTTGCATACCCCCCCCCCCCCCCCCCCCCATACCGCTAAGCCGTGAATAATCGCCTCAAACTTTTTTTAAAACTGACTTATTTCGAGAAGAAAAAAATGTGACCGTGTTCTACTAAAACATTTCAATTAGTCTCTTAAGTTTTGAACCAATCTTCGGGACGGAAAGCAGTTTAGATATCAAACAAATCTTTCAATGCGAATAATTCGAAAAGTAGTTTTTGAGTCGCTTGCGCGCGAACGCCCTTCTGCCATCCGGGCGACGATTATTCATAATCAAATTTGTGTATATTACAGGCTCCCATCCAGAGGTTGTTTCTGGACAGCCCTTGGTGCTGTAGATCAATTGGAAGATATGTAGAATTTTAGAGGATCTTCCTTCTGGGGGAGATCTGGGCACCCCCCCCCCCCCATGGGTGCTGTAAATTATTTGCAAGATGTATTGATATTTCCATGCCCTATAATTTCTTCTGTACATTTGACGGGGGAAAGGGCGTGCCTGTACCTGGATAGCGCCCCGTTTAGTACAAAAGGCCCGTTGAAAGTTGTATCAAATGTTTCCTCTGGGCATTTCCAGACGGGGGGGGGGGCTACCCCTTCTCCCTTCTCTTCCCTATAAGCTGGATACGCCAATGTGAATAATTACTCACTCATAGCTTAAAGACTACCTTGAGCAGACATTGACCCTTTGGGATGTAGTGTCTTAATTCTTTCTGACGGTCTAAGTGATCACGCACCCAAATGCACGAACATAATTATAGCCAGAGTAATAACGACACTCCATGACCATCAAACGTTTTTTATTAACAAAAATATTTAGCCTCTGACTCAAAAACTCATTAGGCGTATTTACTGTGGAAGTGACATTGAGTAGAAAAATATGCCTCATGTGAATATGTCTCCCCCTCCCCAAGACTTACAACTTAAATTTAAAGACACTTACTTTCCTGTGTTTACCGAACGAGTGTAAGGACAGAGCCTGGGGAGGGGGGCATTTTAAGATTAATCTCTGCGCAGTCGCACTACTTCATGATCTAGATCTATATAATTTATGACAGAATAAGTCAGAAAAGATTGCTATTGTAGTCATGGACTTGTTATCATATCTATGGGTCGTACTGTAGCCAGAGAAAACACGGGGTGCAGGCGAACAGGGGAGAGAAGAAAGGGATAGGTAGAAGGAAAGTGAAGGTGAAGACAATGTAAAAGGAAGATAATATGACACGACACATTCCCCACACTCCCATATCCCTGACTCGATGACCTTATTATCTTGCTTCAAAGTCAAACCTGCTTTAATGACCACCTGTTCACAAAGACCACATTTTTTGTTTACCTTTAAAATGTTTTCTCATTGAAACATGTACTAAAGAAGCCTGCGTTAGTGACCGCCTGTCTACAAAGACCACATTATTTTATTTCCCTTCAAAATGGTTTCTCATTGAAACATGTACTTAAGGAACCTGTCTACAAAGACCACCTGTCTACAAAGACCACTTGTGTGTTTCCCTTTGGTGGTCGCTATAGACAGGTTTGATTGTAGTTGGATCGGGGCACTCTCCCCAACGATAAAGTACCCGCCAACTTTTTTATTGCGTTCAAATCGTCACCCATTTTGCCCCCTTCATTATGGAAGGCATCTTGTTACCCTTGGTATGGTATGGTGGCCCTGAAGGGACATCGTGAATAGACGAAATCGCGAATTATTGACGACGAAATTGGCGACGAAATTCACGACGTCGTCAATTTCGTCGTGAATAATTCGCGATTTGATCTATTGGCGACGAAATTCACGACGTCGTCAATTTCATCGTGAATAATTCGCGATTTTGACTATTCGCGATGTCCCTTCAGGGCCACCATACCTTGGAGCAGTTTCATGACAATCCTAATCAAACTGCCAAGTCAATTAAAACTTGGAACATTCGATTTCAAATACGAACGGACAGGTGCCATGCTCACATAATAAAATAATTCCTTTTTTATCCAGCGTCCTCAATCCACAAATTATCAATGCCCTTGTCTTAGTCGAAATCTATAATCTCTGGCAATCCACAAATTATCAATGCCCTCGTCTTAGTCGAAATCTATAATCTCTGGCCTAATTTAGGTGACATCATTGCCTTTCTCTTTCATTGCCATCTGTTTAGTTTTCTTCTTCCGGGATTTAACCTCATGTCGCCTCGATTGAGGATGTATCACTCATTTATTAAAAGTCGTTTTATCACAAAGGCATATCCTTTTCATAAAGTACCAGGCCAATAATTGTAGAGCCTAACATTTTTCTCTGTCCCCCTCCGCTTGTGCAAGGATACACAAGATGCTCAGCTTCTGCAGTCGAAAGATAGGATTTTCAAATGATGCCTGATAAGCACTAATATTGTCACTGGGGTATATGGTGCAGACGCAATGCAAACAATATTTCCTACAGTTTTTCCTCTTTTTCAATACAACGAATTGTAAACCAAGGAGCTGTATACCGTAAGAAGAAGGGTGCAAAACAATTATTGAATTACAAGTGGGCGCCCTAATATTAAGTTGATTTTAAGAGAAGCAAAATGGGAAGAACAGATCAGCGAAAGTTTGATGACGGGATAGATTTTTTTTCATACAGGGGTTGTGTAGAATCATTTTCGCTATAATTACTATCCAGATCAGGGATGATAGTTCCTAGGGGACAACAGAATATTTAAATCCATAGCTCACTAAATAGCATGAAATATGACCATGATGACATATAAATTAAACCGTATCAGGTTTTATACCCTAAAAGGTCTGGAGCCGAAATAATGGTATCGAAAGTAGTGTGTTTTCAAAAAATTGGAAGCTGTCTAAGTAAATGGCAACTACGTATTCCCTCGATAGGATATTGAAATCACATTATCTAGATTGTGGGTAGTAGCAAAATGGGATTCACATGCAACATTGTACCATTTCTCTTCACGGTAGTCCCTCGCGTTACGTTTGCTGTGTACTTTCTCAAGGAAGGATAGTTAAAGATCATAGCCCAGAAGACGGGTCGATGAAAGGATGAACGGAAGTACAAATTGGATCTTTCATGAG